ATCGTCCATATTATTATGTTTACCTGTCTCTATCCCCATACCCCTGTCTTATGTTCCGTCCTTCCGCCCCTACCCCTCGTGCTCTGTGCTAGCTAGCTTTTTTATTAATTGTTGTATATGATAAACAAAATTAAAAGAAAGAAAAAAAAGACGCGAAAAGAAAAGACCTATTCGCGTCGAAAGATTCGTGATGACGTCTATGATTATGACGACAATGTGATGACGTTGATTCATATTGATCTTGAAAAGATTTTGCAAGAAAAAAATTTTCCCTCCTTTTTCCGTTCGATCGATTTTTGTCATGGTGTTCGATTGGCCTGTAAATATTTAAGATCTATCGAACAGTTCTGTTCCTATTTTTAATTATATCTATGTATTTTTTTAATAATAGTTTCCAATCTTTTTATTTTTCTTTTAGTTTTTTTGTTTTTAACAATTATTTAGAAATAGAAAATGTTTACATTACTCTCTTTTGTCTCGTTTTGTTTTTCCTTTTCTTTTTATATAAATTACTTCGAATGTAAAACGAAGAAAATTCTTATTTCGATAGATCTATAAATGATCGTAGATCTGGTGTCGGTTTTTGCGAGAGTTCGCAAGATTACGGATGAATTAATTTCGAAAATGCACGTAGATGCACGTCGAAGAAATAAATTTCTTCGTAAAATTTGGAGGACCAATTGTGTGGTGGATTTTTTCTCTCGGTCGTTTAACCGAAAGAAAGTTGCTCGACCGAAAGGCTGATCGTGACCAGCCTCTTCGCGATCGAACATCCGATTGGAATTGTCTTTTTATCTACTTTGATCTATTTCCTTCGATCCTTTTTCTCATTTTCTTTTTTATTCTTTTCTGTTTTTTCTTTTTTTTTTTGTTTTTTATCTCTTAGACGTCGAAAAATAAAAATCCTTCGAAATAGAACGGAAGGAAGAATATATATATATACATATATACATTTATACATATATACACACATGTATCAAGTCTATCTCAAAATATTTTGTTTATTATTTGAGTGTAAAATATATTTTGATTTAAAATTATTTAGGAAATTGAAACAGACATTTTTTATTTTTTTATTTGTATACTGTTTACGTGATTATTTAATTGACAATATAATTTCTTTTGATATTAGAAAAAGTTAAAAATTTGTTCGCCCACAAATAAAATTTTTTGATAGACCTTTCATATACCTATATATATGTGCATATATATATATATATACATATATATATGTATATACATATATATATATGCATACATATATATATATATATACACATATAGATATACATATATAGACAAATATAGATATATGTGTATATTCATCTAACGCGATAAGTATCACAAGTACCTACTTTCCTATCGAGTTTTTCCAATGAGCAAAGTTGGCGAATGCGATTTACTATTCGTAATTATCATAATTGTTATAATAAAATGATGAGTTTGATTAGAAAAACTGCGCCATATAGAAGATTATCATTGATGCATTAGAAATGTCGAAAAGTACTTATATACATATTGACTTAGCCATACAATAAATATAATGTCAATTTTTCTTATTTTATTATTAAATAAATAATTTCATATCATATAATATTTAGTATTGTATTGGGTTAATTAATAATATTGAAAATATATATATGTATATACATATATATAGATATGCAATATTTAAATACTACATTGATTAAATATACAATATTAAAAATGGTCGACGTTATATTTATTGGCCAAGTCGATACATATATCTGTGTATATGTGTAGAAGTCAGCTGGAAATAATCGAAAAAAATGTTGCTTCATCGTGACACGGTACTTTTTAGCTCATTCAACCCGATCCTTTTTGCCATCTTGCTTTTTACAGCGATTCCACTCTTATCTTCCGCCGATAGCGCTTTTGTTCTTGTTCTCGTTTTGATCTCGAATGATCAATAAACAATTTCTTTCTTTTGCTATAATGCTGTGCTGCTTCGCCATCTTTCTCGCAAGAAAAACAATATTTCCTTTCATAATTATTTCATCCCAATCGAACGGCTTTTTTTCTCAAATCTATCTGCATGCGTATGTTATATTGTTGCTCTCTCCTTTCGTTTCTTTCTACCTCTTACTTTGTTCTTTTTATTCTTTTGATTTCTGCGCCGAATCAAGAAAGAATGCTGATGCATGAATTGTCAGAAAATTTGATTGTTTTTTCAAATTTTTTCTTTTTTATTTTTAGTTTCTACGGTCGAAATAAAGATGATCGTCAAACTTTGTATTTTTAAATTTTACATTTTCCACATGTTGGGATCAATTTTGTAAATTTTTATTCGACACTTTTTTCTATGATTTTTTTCATTACATTTTGAAGAAACTATAACTATAATTTTTAATAATAACAAAATCTTATATGCAAAAAGGTATGATGAATTCTTTTATCTTTTTGATATTTTCAAAAAGTTCAAAATACTATTAAATGAATATATCAATTTATATAAGATATAACCGTGAAACTTTATATTAAAAATTTTTTAATTAAAGATTTTATTTTTTCTTTTTATATTATTTCCAATTTTTTTTTTACATTTAAATTATATTAAAGTGTACTTTTTAATAATAGCGAAATCAAATGTAGAAAGTACTATAAATTCTCTCTCTCTCTTTCTCTCTCTCTCTCTCTCTCTCTCACATATATTTTTGAAAAAAAAACATGATTTAACAAATATATAAAATATGTAATTATGAAATTTGATATTAAAAATTATACAGATTTTATTTGACATTATTTTTTAATTCTTTTGTTCTTCATATTTAAGCAAGAATTAATAATAGCAATGTTATATGTAAAAGGTATGACAAATTTTTTTGTATACTTTATTTAAAAGAACAGAAAATAACAGAAATATTATAAATAAATATATCGATTTGCATATAAGATTGTATCAATAACAATTCAAAACAAAGTAAATCGATCATCTTTCGAGATAAGAATCATTCACCGTAGAAACTAGTCGACACCGAGTATCTATTTTTTGCTTTTACCGATATTGTCAATGTCTTTTTATCTATTGTAGATATACGCATGAACGTGCACGTAGACGAATAATCATTGAAACGTATACTAATCGTTATCTTTTCGAATGTGGTATAGATCGCTGACTTGAACAGCCAAGTGAATGACCTTCGAGGTAAATTGTAAGTATTTTTTATATACAAAAATATTTTTTAATTTCGTTTGATTTATTTTAACGTTACGTCATTTTATAACATATGGAAATCATTCATCATTTTTACTTTTTTTACTTTTTTTTTACATTTTTTTATTTTTTTCATTTCTTCTTTTTTTAGCATGAAGCCAACCCTGAAGAAGGTTTCGAAATACGAGAACAAATTCGCCAAACTTCAAAAGAAAGCGGCCGAATTCAACTTCCGTAATCAATTGAAACAAGTCAAGAAAAAGGAATTCACTCTGGAGGAAGAGGACAAAGAGGTACGATAGATCGTTATCGATTAAATTTACCTATTTAACTAATAGATATAAAAGAGAAAGAATTTATATTTCTTTTCTCCTTTTTATTTGGGCAACGAAGAGGAAGGATAATCATTTTTCGTCGTCCTTCTCACATTTCTTTTTTATTTCTTTCTTTTTTCTTTTTGAGGACTTCTAAAAAAAAAGAACATTATGAAGCAATAAAAAAAGAATTAAGAAATACTATTTTTTTTTTTGTATTTTTTGTAATTTTCTTTTTCCTTTTTTTTTTGCTTAAAGTAAAGCTACGTTTTTTTCATCGCACACAAGTCGACTACGTTTAAGTCGGCTCGCTTTTTTCTTTTGGTGGTTATTTTTTCTAATTTCATAGTAAGAAAGAAAGATATGGACTTTTTCTTTTTTCTTCGAAATAATTGTTGTTAACTTGTTTTTCTTGTTTTTGTTCCGTCTTGTTTCGTCTTATTTTGATATCTTTTTTCTCCCATGATTTTTCTCGATAGGTTTTAGACAAGAATTTTATCAAGACTAGATAGATACACGTGGCGCAACACACAATTTTTTTTTCGATTTTCTATGTGTTATAATACTAAACACTTAGAATTCTCTCATATAACTATATAATCATGATAGTCTGTAGCTTAGAGATAGTTGATTAGGCAATTGTGTTGTTCTTCACAGCCCAAGAAGTCCGAGAAAGCAGAGTGGCAGACGAAGAAGTAGATTACAAAAACAGGCCGAATGTGAAAAAAAAGAAACACATACACACACACACACACACACATATATATATATAAATATATAAATAATCCTATAATGTACATATATTTAAACAGTTCGAGTTTGAATACATATACGTACGATACATACTTAATTATTTACAATATATACATACAGACTGAGACGTATACTCATTTAACGATTGATTATTTTTCATTCTAATGAAAGTATTTCACTTAAACAAAGAAATATTAATAATTAAATAAATTAATAAATAAAGGAGAGATAAAAAAAAGTTTTGTCAAAAGAATTGTGCCTCGAAGGCGTTTATAAGATTTTTACGGACAAATAGTTTCGTTCGAATTAAATCTTGGAGTTATCAATATTAGTTTCACGTAAAAAAGAAGAAAATTGTTCTGAGTCGATCCAATAAACGATTCAAAAATCGAGTACATACGATGCACGAAGAATCAAAAGATAGATATAACCATACTCGCATCTATTCCCAATATCCACGTAATCTTCTTCGAGATTTCATTTCATTTTCTTTCTTCTTTTTTTTTTTATTTTATCTTTTCATAAGATACTCGTAATCGTTTTTTCGTTATGTTTGTTTTCTATTATTCTTTTTTTAAGGATACCTCATATTTTCCTCCGTCACATCTCTGTAAAGTTCGTGACTCCATTTCAATTGCCATTTCTTGAGATCTTCAGAATTATTTATAACTAAATTTTTCATATAAAATTTTTTATTCGTTTCATAAAAATTACTCGTAGAAATATTATAGAAACGTTTTTATTAACATAATTCTAGAAAAAAGAATCGATATGATTGAAAATAATTCGTTGTTTTATAAATAAAAGAAAAAAGACAATATCATAGAAGATCTTAGAAAAAGGGTTTAGGGATTAATAAAGAAGGGCGAAAAAGGTGAGAATGGCTTGCAGAGTATAATTTCTTTAAAAAAACAATACAAAATTTAAAAAACAAATAAACAATTAAATAAATATAAAATATATATAGCTCGAACTTTCTTCACATTTTCCGTTGATAATATGGCAGAAACGCTTTTACTCACACTAAATATGCCTGTCCCTATTTTTCTCTTTATCTTTATCTTTATCTCTCTTGCATATACACATACATATACATATATAATACATATATACATACATATACACCTATATATATATATATATATATATATATATATATATATATATATATACAAGTACACGTACACACTATTAGTTAAAACGCAATTTAATTTAGTTTTGCCTTACAATTGCTAGCATTTTTATCTGATTCTTCGGACGCTAATCCATTACATACTTCGAACTATCGTACTTCAATACCAAATTAATTGGACAGATAAGAAATAATAAAAACAAAAAGAAAAAGATATAAAAAAAGAAAAATACAAAAAAAAAGAAATAAATATAAGGAAGAGAACGAAAGAACGAAGTAGCGGCCATAAGTAAAAAATATTGATAAACTAAAATTATACGCGAGATTAAAGAACAGACATTTTACGCAAAAGGCGCATTTTTTTAAATTGGCTTTATCGCCTATTATTGATTCGACTGCCATGCTTCGAGGCTGTTAACGTGTAGAATATTTGTTCTGTCCTATTTTTCGTTCGTACAATGATCATTCAGCATATTCGATTATTTCATTTTCTTCTGTCTCTTTTTACTTTCTATTTAATTGTTTGATAAATATTTGTTGTTTTATCCTAATCAATTTTTCTTTCATAGTACATACATGTCGATGAATTAATTTAAGATTTTCGATTATGAGTTTAATATACAGGGTGAACAAAAAGTTTCTAGGCGGGCTAAAAAAGTATAGGTGATTTTAAAAATCAATTACACCTCTTCGAGACTTTTTTCCAGTTTGCAAAACTACAGTATTAATCTGTAATACTGCAAGCCTAACTATAAGCTTAGAAATTCTCGAGAAAGATTAATTGATTTTCAAAATCACTTAGATACTTTTGATAAAACTCTGTATAAAATTAAAATAAGAAAATTAATAATTTTTTGATACTATGTAAAAGAGTCAATTTATATTTAATAAAAATATTAATAAATTTGTAAATTATGTATTTACAAATAGTATTTATATTTGTGAATCAATTATGGATCATAAAAAGATCAATGATTTTTTTAATTTAATATAATATTAAAATAAATAGATTTTCATACTTAAAAATTCTTTTCACTTACAACGACACTTATATTTATGAATCGACTCAATATTTTCAAGTATATATAGATCATAATAAAATCGATTAATTATTTATCATCATTTTTTTTTGAAAATCGATATGCCGAATGATCGCTTCTCGTCATTTACGATTCGATTTTACGAGAAAAATTAGAAAATGTTTCATATTATATACCCTATATATATATATATATATATATAGTATATACATATATATTTATATATATTCTCGAAGAATCAATTCGTAAATGCTTGATAATCGTCAAAAATTGAGGATTAAATGTACGCTTGAATAATTGTCTCTATGTTTCTTTTTTCTCTATCTGTGTCTCTCTTTCTGTCTCTCTCTCTCTCTCTCTCTCTTTCTTTCTCTCTCTCTTTCTCTTTCTCTTTTTCTCTATCTTTGTTTGTCTGTTTATACTAATGATATTGCTCTTGCATTATGTTCGCAGAATGCGTCAAAAGATAAGGTAAAACTTTAATATGCCAATCGTTAGATCGGCATGCTTGCGTAGGAAATTCGTAGAGAATGAATGAACGAACGTGTGAATTAGAATAAGGCGAAAGAATGAACGAACTAACGAATGGAACGACTAATTGAAAGTAATTGAAATAAAAAAAAAATAAAAAAAACGAAGAAGTGAAAGGGAAAGTAGTTAAAGAAAAAAAAGAAAGCTATTAAAAAAGCTTATATTATATTTGGCTTGAACGCTGCACGATCAATAACGATTAACTTCGTCAAATCTTTCTTTATTTTTTCTTTTTTTTCTTTTCTTAACTCATCACAATAGGCATCTTCTTTGAATATTTTTACGTTATCAAATTTTTTTAATAAACAATTTTTCTTCTTTTTCCGGTCAGATCGTAAAGATAATCAAATTTTTCACGTAGAACGTGAAATTCGTCCATTGTTATTTTCTCTATGGTTATTCGTTTTTATTTTTCTTCGTTTTTGCTTCCCCCCCCCCTCTCATCCACCCGCCCGCCAATCAGAGATTAGGTCAGATTTTTAGACAAGCTTGTAGAAAATGATATATCGGTTTTTTTGTGCACCGCTCTTTGTTTATTTTTCTTTATTCTTTTCTATTTTTCTTTTTTTTTTTTGTTTAGAGACAATACAGAGATTCATTTTTTTCATTTTCGTCATAATAAAGAAAAAAAACAAAGACAAAAAACAGAACAGATCGGGTATTTTTCAATTAGTTTACTTTTTGTTCATTTTTTTACGAACATATATGCAAACCTTTTACATATATATATGTACCTTTGTCCCTCTCGTCGTTTTATTTGCTTTGCGATCGTTCACCCCTTTTGGCACCATTATAACCAACCCACAACGTGTGTTAAGAATTACTGTGCAAATATTCCTTTACTTGAGAAAGTAAGACTTCAGAATTTTTATCTCACATGTGTTTCTTTCTCTTAATTTTACAGAAAAAACCTGACTGGTCGAAGAAGGGCGATGAGAAGAAGGTAAAGGAAGAAGAGGTCGAGGCGTGAAAGAAAAGGATCGTAAAAAAAAAAGAAAAAAAAAAAGAAAGAAAGAAATTCGTTGTTCTCGTCGAATTGCGAACATAAACGGATTCGTTCGAGCAAATAACAAACGGCTCGGCTCTGAAAAAAAAATGTTAATTTCCCTCTCCATTTTGTCTGTTTCTATATATATTTTTTTTTTCTTTATTTTCTTTCTTTCTATTCGTTCTTGAATTTGTAATCATGATTCTTTTTAACGATGTCAATGATCCAATGTAATAATCGTCCCATCAATCGGTCCCCATTTTTTATTGTTTATCAATCGTTCCTTGTGAAATATCAATGTAAATCCTTCATTTGTCTAATCCTTTCTAATAATTCTACGTACGTTCACAATATTCCAATCAATTTTTGCACATTTTTCCGTTTCATTTCTTTTTTTTCTTTTTTTGTTATTGTTATTGTTTTCGATATCATGTGGGACAAAAGTTAATGACTAAAGATAACTGCGATAAAGATAATCGTTATTTAAGATTTATTGTAAAGCAAAATACTTGACTATAAAAATTTCTGTGTTGTGTCGTCATTATTTGTACCCTTCTTGTATGTTCCTTTTAATATCCTTTATTGTTACCCCTCGTAATCGTAAGTATACGTATGCGTTATGTCTTGAATTATCAAATCTTTCTATAATTTTCTCAGATCTTATAGAAACTTTCTGATTTTAATGATATATTCGAAATATCGAACATACAAAGAGTAAAGTCGAATAAATAACCTCGTTGAAGACATTCTCTCTGAAGATATATTCGTATTGTTTATATGAACTATAATAATTGAAAAGGCTAAAAGAAGCATATTCTAGCGGGGATAATCGATTAATAGTAATCTAGAGAAATAATTCTAACTATGTTATTTGTTATATGTTTCGACATTTTTTTGTAAATCCTTATCTGTGATCTAACGAGTGTTTGTGCAAAACGGACAAGTGTCCATGTTTCTTTGATCGTCGAGTCCGAGCCTGTTTGATAATATCAATCATGAATATTTTCTCGTTCGATGATCGATGACTGTAAAAGGAGGATGAAAAATATTAAAAACGAGTTATAAGAATGAGAACAAAACATTCTCCTTGACAAGTCACATAGTTTTATAAACAAAAAGAAATTTTTTTCTTAAATTAAAAATAATATTATAAAGAAAAATGTCGTAAGAAAGAAAATTAGATAAAAGTTAGAATCATATCGAAATATTCGCGATGATATAGCAGCAAAGAAAACTGAATCATAGTTACTGAAATTAAGGAGCATTAGGTTTGAAAAATGGTATACCTTGTATACATAGGAACCCGAAGCTCCTCCACCTCCTCCTCCAGCGGAAGTTCCTCCACCTAAGGAACCGGAACCTGCACCCGCTCCTGCTCCTGTTCCTGCACCTGTACCAGAACCAACACCGCCTGCTGAACCACCAGCACCAACACCAGAACCAGCTCCTCCAGCAGCTGCTCCACCAACAGGTAAAGTTTATTTGCGTTTATTTATTTTTTTTTTTTTAAATCACTTTTTAAGGAAAAAGAAAATAATGAATTTTTCTATGTATATTGTTTTTTAATATTTAAATTAAAAATTTCGATTTCATACGATTCACGATATATAGAAGGTGCTCCACCAGCTGAAGGTACAGCACCACCACCACCTGCCGAAGGATCTGCCCCGCCTCCAGCTGAAGGCGCACCACCTCCAGCCGAAGGTGCACCATTAGCCGAAGGAGCACCAGCTACAGCGGCCCCAGGTGAAGGAGCTCCATCAGCAGAGGGTGCTCCTGCTCCAGCTCCAGCTCCTCCTGCTGAAGGTATTCTCTTTCTGCATCTTTTTTACATTCACTTAGAAATCGAGATCTTATTGAAAATTAATAATTGGATCATATTCAAATGAATTGATAATCGTTTTTATATTTTAAATTAAAATCTGAATATTCAGTGAGATTATAAAATTGAATAAATCATTTCTCTAAAAAAAAAAAGGAAAGTAGTTGTGTCGTCAGAATTGATCAAGATAGTATAAATTTGTTTAATAGGTAATATTGATTTAAAGAGACTACGAAATGAATGGATTTCACGCGACTTTTGAATAACTCAATTCGATTATAGAACACTTGTGACCTATTTGTTCGTTCACCTATACATTCGTTCGTTTTATTCAATTGCTCTTTAACTACTGTATAGGTGCACCACCAACGGAAGGAGCTCCACCAACTCCAGCTTCAACGACCGAAGGTGCAGCTCCTCCGGCGGAGCCAGCAGCCGCTCCAGAAGCGGCTCCAACTGATGCAGCACCAGCAGCAGCACCACCTACGGATGCTTCAGCCACACCAGCAGTAGCTCCACCAGCTGATGCTGCAGCACCAGCTACACCAGTACCAGCACCAGCTGATGCCGCCGCACCACCAGCGGCACCAGTACCAGCACCAGGTGATGCAGCCGCACCACCAGCAGCAGCTCCACCAGCAGCGGCACCATCAGCAGAAGCTCCACCTGCGCCAGCGCCTACAGAAAGTTCGTCTCATTAATATATACATATAAATAGAAAAAAAGACATTTTCGGACATAGGTCGCATCGTGGTATCCATGCGGTCCGTCGAATCACGTGATATTCATCATTAATATTCTTTTGTTTAACTTAATTTTTAGCTAATCTTGTTTTGATTTTGAGAGTTACAATCGTCATCAGAAGAACAATTTCATCAACAAATAGAGCTAAGTACATCACGAATGGTACGTCGAGAAAAAGAAAATTGAGAACGTAGTAGACAAGGATCATTAGTAAAACAATTAGTAATAGTATCTCTTCATCTATTAGAAATCTATTAGTAAAACAATTACTAATAGTATCCTGTCATCTATTAGTAATCGTTTAGTTTAATTAGTTGAAAAGTGTCATGATAAAGTAATCTCATCTCAAGGCGTCTTAGTACGCGCGTTGTTCTTCATAGTTAATCTATCTTCCTCATCGTCTCTATCTCGTCTCGTCTATCTCATCCATCATCATTCATAAACATTGCCAAAGGTGCAGCATCTTGTCGAATCTCAAAATACTCGAGATATATGGTTTGTTATGTAGTTTATCGTTGACAAATAACTCTGCTTGCGACGTTGGAGCGTCTCTTCGATGAACTCGTTCCATTTGCTAATTACTTTCAATGCAATTAGAATAAATTTATTGTTTTATTGCAGCACCTGCCTCGTAATTTCGTCGAGACGGCCAGTGAAGGACAAAGACTTAATCTTTGTTGACCACAGCGAACACATCGGCACTATTCTTCGTTTATCGTCATTGACTGTCATCATCGTCGTCGACGCCTTTATTCATCGTGATCATCTTTGTGAAGAAGAGATAAACGAAAAAGAAGAAGCATCTTATCGTCAATTACGATAACTCTGTAACGAACGCCATGTCATTAACAAACAAAAACATTCTATACGATTTACATTTTACCTTAAACGGTCATAGAGTTCGTTAAAATTCTTCTATACGAAATAAAAACAAATCGTATAGAATATTACATATGAGAATTTTTGTGCCGTTAGCTTTGTAAATAATTCACGACACGTTCGTCTACGCGTAAGTTCAGCGCGTAGATATATATGTATTGATACACTAAATACTGTTTCTTTAAGAAAAAAAAAAAAATAAGAAATTGGATTTCGTAATAAAAACTCATCATCATCGATTATTGTATTTTTATGGATCAAAATTGAACAAAATTATTCTTTAACTGATATTTTAAGTAGATAAGTCTTAAACAAATATTTAATTATGCATTTACTCAGATAAAATTTCACTAAATCTAAAGAGTACGCAGAAAAAGTAATAGATCTAATTTCTTTATCACTTCCTTTCGCAAGCATATGCTATCAAGAGATTGAATTATGTTGTGTCCTCTCTAACGTTACGTAACCAGAAGTAAAAAGGGAACTTGTGTGTCGGTACAACGAAGAACCGTATTCAAATCGAATTGCTCTATGTGATAACTAGCAAAGCAGTATTTGATATCTCGATAAACGCTATAGGAAGAAGTTAAATATTGCGCCGGTGTACACGGTAATAGTGGGGAGAATAGAGAACGGAATCGGCTTTGAGTAGAGTAAGGTCGAGGAGAAGGGGAACGGCGCGCCACGAATCCGTCAGTCGCGCTCAAGATTCCGAGATAGGAGGTCTATTTCATTGCTTCGTATTATCTCATCGTCGTTGTCGTCGTTCGAAACGTCATTGCCATTGTGAATCGTGTTGCTTATTACATTCTTCCTTAAAGACATTTCTCAAATAAATAAAAACTTCGACCTTCTACACGTGCTATTTTTTCTAAAGAAAGAAAAAAGTTTCGAAGGTCGGCGGTCCGACGCGCGACGATTACGCGATCTCGCGGCCAATTTTCGTGCCATGCGTGGCAAGAAGAGCTACGAGAAAACATTATTTCTTACAAGAACTATCTTTTTTTAAATCTTTTCGTTTGTCATTACTTGCCTAAACAAGATAAGACAGTCTTACCGTTACATTATCCATTTCCTTGAATTGAAGAAACAAAAACTGCTCGGTAAGTAAGTGCAATGTACTTATTCGAACGAGTATAATCACGGAAGAATCTTCTCTTTTTTTTCTTTTGTTTTTATTCCATCTTTTACCGGTTGCGTCCTTGTCCTCGTTCTAGTCTAGTCACGAGATAAAATAGTTGACTTTCAGAACCTTGGATACGTTTCTTTTTATGACGTAGATCGTAGACGTTACGTGAAAGATAAAATAGAATAGGAAGATAGATAGAAAGATATATATATATATATATATATATATATATATATCGAGAGAGAGAGAGAGAGAGAGAGAGAAACGCGCGTGTAAGAGAAGCGCGTTGCGCATCTCTTTCGAAGCAATATCGTCTTTCTAAACTGACCAATCACCTTCTCTCTGTATCCTTCGTAACTCATATGCTATTGGTAGTTGAATGAATAGATCGCTTGGCGCTGCTTTTACGAACGCTTTCTCTGTATGTTCTCTTACAAATATTTACCTTTCCATGAGCTCTTTATTTGTATAACGTTCGCATAAGATATAAGTATATATGAATTTTGTGATGAATCGAGTTAAGATGATAAGTACTCATTATCTTGAATGGAAGATTTCTTCTTCTTCGAAACGAATCGCAATCACTAAAGAATTCAAATATAATATCATTACGAAACATTTATTAATTAATTATCTTCTTGTCGAGTTAAGAGATGAAAGGAAGATAAAAAAAAAGAAAGAAAAAAAATAAAAAAGAAAATGTCAAATTAATTCGTTAAGTTAAGAAAAGTTTTGATCAGATTCAAAGGCCGAACGGAAGCGGACGTTAATTAAGCTAATAAGGTTCGACGAGTAAGCGGGAGGTCCTATAAACGAGGACTCTGTCGATATCACGGTTACCTCCGTATTATGCTTTAAATCTCACCGCCGCGATCCACGAATCATAGCCTTAAATGGAGATCACTCTTACTACTCTTCTCGTTCGATGCAAATTCACATCGTCGAGCTATACGGACGGCTGGGTTAGTGCCCCTTTACCTTCTCTTCCTTTCTTTTAGACTCTACCGCCAATTAAAAAACTCCTTTTCGAGCAACACGAGTCAACCAATTAATGATATTTGGTATGTCGTGGAACTTCGTTTTTTTTCTTTTTTCTTTCCTTCTTTCTTTCCTTTTTGTCTTTTTTCTTTCCTGGTTCACGTTTGAATTTATCTTTCACACTTTTCCCGCCATTTCTAAAGTCGTATAAATAAAAAGAGATGAAGAAAAAGATTTGGAGATTTTCTCGAAAAAAAGCTTTGTTTTTTCTTTCTTTCATTCTTTATTTTTTTTCTTTTTTATTCAACTGTTATATTCGTTCTACGTTCGTACTCGAATGTGCAAACTTTCCTGTCTTTTTTTAAAATCAGGCACGAGCACAAAAAAGAAGATAAGTAATCTTTTTTCTGTTATTTTTTTTTTCTTTTTTCTTTTTCTTTTCGAAGATCTAGAGGCCAATGTCCATGATCTTGACTATTATATTACGATTCCTGTCGTGAGTCACGATCTCGAGTTATTAGTTACCGTTCCTTCTCGTGACTTCCTTGCCAAAAAGAAAGAAAACTATTTCCTATTGGACTTCGAATCTTTCTTTTTTTTTTGTAACTGTCACTAACGTTCGACGTTCCATTATCAAACTTTCGTTTTCTTCATTTTTTTTTTCTTCTTTTTTTATCGTCATCTCCTTCAAAGAATTAATCCTTTGGAGTGAGAGAAATAAATCGAAACGAGATTGAGAGATCAATCAGTGTTCGTGAAATGCAATCTGTTCGGCCCACTTCTTAACCTCTGCTTTTATTTAATAAACTCCTTCGTGAACACGACACAAGAGTAAAATGATTTTATTAACACTTTTACACACTTCTTTATTACTTCATCTATTCGATAATAGTATTAGGTATTGCAAATTTATCTGTAAATAAGAACGATCAATTTAAATATTATTGTGTTATATGAATTTATAAAAAATTAATAACTTTTTATATACATACATATATACACAGTTTATTTATATATAAATTATATATGAAGTATTCATTTCAAGTTGTTAATATTAATAAAATATTTATGAAAAATATAATTTCTTTTTTTTATTTTTTTTTTTAAGTTAAAAAGCAGACAAAACATTTGGATAGATCTAATATATGATAAGTACAGAGTGAACAAAAAATTCTAGGAAATTTTAAAAATCAATTACTCCTTTTTGGAATATTCTAGATGAAGTTTTGTTTTAGATTGTAGCTTATAAAACTACAAACCTTAACTACAAGCCTAAGTACAAATCTAAAAAGTTTCGAAAAAATGAAGTTTAAAAAATATTTAATATTATCTAGGAAATTTTAACTCGTCTGAGAATTTTTAGACAAACCTGTACATCCTGTATAAGGGAGGAACAGAACATGCAAAATAAATTGAAGTAACAGAAGTAATACATTAGAATATAAAGAGAAAGAGATAGATAAAATTAGAGAACGACAGTTCCGGACGAGTTTGAGTCGAGTTTCCTTTTGCTCGTCGAACGTATTGTGACCTCTGCTTTATTGAATAGATTGATCGTGATAATATGTAACGAGTACGAGCAAAGTGAGGTCGATTGGCATAATCGAATGAAGTAACCAAGCTTTCGTTTGAAATTTTTAACCTAAGAGAGAAGATAGCTTTTCCATGTTGGTTAAAAATATTACATAATTGTGATGGAACGAGTCAAGGATCGGAAGGTATGATCACATACTTCTCTCTCTGTCTCTGTCTTTCTCTCTCTCTCTCTCTCTCTCTCTCTCTCTTTCTCTCTCTTTCTCTCTCTCTATCTATCTATCTATCTATCTATCTATCTCGTTTTGTTTACGTTTTTCTTGCGAAAAAATTATTCGATTCTCATTCGAATAATTTACTTTGTTAATATAAACGATTCGAAAACGAGGACTCTCAGGACAGGTTAAAAAGGATTAAGAAGATTACCTGTTGCGGTACTAAGTATATTGAGGCGAGAACGACGAAGAGAAACTAGAAAGAGAGGATAGAGAAACGTACTTAAATGTTTCGAGGTGAATATCCTCTCTGAATATCGTTGAATATCGTCTACGTATGTGTGTTTTGTAAAGTAGTAACACGAACGGATGTTGTATATTGACATCCTTCTTAACCCTTTCCGATCTTTATTAGTATTATTCTTTCTTTTTCTTTCTGTTTCTTCATTAAGAATTCTTTTGTATTTTAATTTTTTTTTCTTTCTTTTTTTTTTAGAAAAAGCATACATAGTTTAATTTATTAGATATATATTAATTTATTAGATATATATATATATATATATATATATATATATATATATATATATGAAAATGTGTCATTTTATAATAAAAAAAATTGTTACAAAATTTATTTAAACAATATCCAGTCTGACTCGACGTAAAAGTTGAAAAACTTAAATTATGAATTGATCATCTTATGATCTTTGATCTACGATCTACGTTTCTATTTACTATAAATTAATCGACTGTGTTCTTAAATGTATATCGACGCGATTAATATCCAATATTATATCAAAATTGAAAAATCAAATTTATTTATTAGATTTTTTGATCCTTTGCTTATTTTATGTGCTATATGTATATGGTATTTGATATAATTTATATATTGCAAGATATCACTATCATAAGTTTGATGCATTCATCAAATTTTTATTAATTTTTGTTAATGTTTTTAGGAAAAATTAGAAAGTGGTGGAAAATCTTCGACGATTCTTAAATGGAAATGCATACCGAAGATCGATCCGAATTTATTCACCAATGACACATTGTAAGTGAACATTGTCTAATAACTTTTATTTTATTAATTAAAGGATGTCTTATTTTAAATGATATGACCAAATATCTCCGTCTCTATTGTTTATTTTTATAAACAAACGTTTCCAAATGAAAGCTGCTAAATTTGGAGAGAGAAGATGTAATATGTTACAGCTATTTCATAGATGACACTGTTCGCCTTGCAATGGCGCTGCTCGCCTTGCAATAGAGCGCTTATTATGATAAAAGTCATAACAATTGTTTTAAAATGAAAATTGATGTTTCAAGTCTAACAAAAATTGTAGAAAATATTAATATAGATCAACGGTGTATCTCTGTATCTTTTTATCTTTTTATTGATATTTAATCGATTTATGACGCCTTAAAGTTTAACAAACTTTGACTGCTGAAAGACACTGTATTTCAAATGATTACAATTTCAAAAATGTATGAACAAAAATAAATAAATAAATAAATAAATAAAAGAATAAGACAAACAAAATTAATCGATGAATTCATTGGTTATCAAATGTTTATTGGATATTTGATCGCATTATTGCAACTATACATTTTGTTAAACCTCAAGACGCTATAATCCGATGAAATCATGATGAAATAATAATGAAACAATAATACGTTGTAGGTGCTCATTAAATTTGTATTAATATTTTCTACAACTTTTGTTGAGCTTAAAATATCGATTTCCAAATTAAAAAAAAAAATTAAAACAGAAAATTGTTACAACTTTCATATCTTAACAACAGCGCCTTTTATGGAATAACTACAATACATATTAAATTATCTCCTCAAAATTTAATAACTTCTATTTGAAATATTTACTTATAGAATCAATGAGATGGAATATATTTGATTATATCATTTAACATCCTGTATATTGGGTTTGTTAAAACTATTTTTTTTTGTTTTTTTTTTTCTTTGTCAAAAATAATATAAATGATGAACAAATTTTCATATATCTATCCTTCTTCCGATTTTTCTATTCGTCCTTCGGTCTCTTTGAGCCTAACATATTCCAAAGAACAGCCAGATGGTCAATCAATTTACATCCAGCGATAAGGAATCATCGATAAACCGTGTTGGATATATTACGTTGGAACGAATTGTAATAAGAGCAACGAAAATGTTGGAACGTTCACGTTCATCCATTTACATATCTTTTCTGTTCTCTCTCTTTTTTCTTCCTTTTCTCTTTTTTTCTCTTGTTATAACATAAGTATACTTTTCTCGAAGGAGCATTATTCATCTGGAGTGAAGAGACATCGATAAAAATGAAAAAGTCACATAGCTTGCAATATCACGTAAAAAATTATCCCATAGCAATTAGAACGAAAACTTAATTAAAAAAATTAACAAAAAAAGACAAAGAGGAAAATAGAAAACAAAAAGAAATATGAATATTTTGTATGTGGCAATGAAGATGAGAACTGGTTTGAATTAGAAAAGATGTACTTACGTTAGGCATGTTTCATGCAAATGGCAGAAGCATAACGACGACGTTAATTTGAGATTCTGTCTTTCTAACGGTACATGTATCTAACGTTGCTCTATTTAACTCGGCTTCGTCCGTTACCATAATCTAAGCTTGTTTTGTGAAGTTTCGTTCGTTTCAATGAAACAGAGCACTCATTCATTACCACGAATGTTGTCCATTTCAAATCTTAACGTTTAGAAAATAGAATATGGAAGAAAGTATTAAATAGAAAAGGCAGTAGTTTACGAAAAGAAAAAAAAGAAGGAAACAAATAAATAAAAAATAAAAGGCAGGACATGACTGTTGGTCAGGTATATTATTTTTGAAATTTGTCTTTTCTACCTAGTCAGGAGGAACCTAGCAATAAAAAGCAAAGTGAGGATTTTTGAATAGCCGACAAGGTTAATGCGATTGGATGATTGACTAGATTGGAAAATTGACTGTCTAACGTATACGTATAGGACATTGGGATAAATGAGGATATATCTAGGCTGGGAACGTGGCACCGTTCAACGTGCGAGGCAATTGATGGGAATGGATCGAACGCGGAGCCCCCAATCATCGTCATCGTCGTCGTCGTAGTCGTCGTCGTCGTTGTCGTTGTCGTTGTCGTTGTCGTTGTCGTTGTCGTTGTCGTTGTCGTTGTCGTTGTCGTTGTCGTGTTGTCGTGTTGTCGTTGTCGTTGTCGTTGTCGTTGTCGTTGTCGTTGTCGTTGTCGTTGTCGTTGTCGTTGTCGTTGTCGTTGTCGTTGTCGTTGTCGTTGTCGTTGTCGTTGTCGTTGTCGTCGTCGTCGTCGTCGTCGTCGTCGTCGTTGTCATCGTCGTCGTCATCTATAGCCATAGCTATAACTAACTATTATATACAGTAGCGACCCAAAGTTATTCACGTACTTTTAATTCTCGACCGGATATGTTTCGTCATCGTTTACATTACTTAACAGTTATTACTTATTGTCACTTTGATTAAAAAACATGTTAATATACCTTTACCTCTTGCGTTTATAGGTTTCCCCCTTTCTCTTCTTCCTCTCCTCCTCCTCCTCCTCCTCTTCCGCCACCTCCTCCTCGCCCCTCCTCCTTCTCCTCCTTCTCTTCCTTGTGTTCCAAACCGCTTCGGTAACAAAGGAACGTATCAAAAGAGCGTACGAGTCATACCCATTTCATTTCTTTTTCCTTTTCGTTTCTCTCGATACTTTCATGATCCCATCTTAAAAAAGGAAACCTTTCCTTTTACGTTTTCCTTTCTTTTTTTCTCTCTATTCCTTTCTTTTTTTTACTTGACACTTATGAATTCTACAAAGTCTTAAAATCATCATAGAAATAAGTAGATGGAGAATTTCCTATCACTTCCATTCGTTTAAATGTTTCTTTTATTTCATCAAACCTAACATGTTCCCTCTTTCTTTTATGTGTAGTGCCGGTGATGAGGTGACGATCGATTCGGTGACAAGTTTCGACCCAAATCGATCGAGGATGGCTAAAAGTACTGAAAGATTACCTGGTACTTCTTCCAGATTAAGAACTAGAGACGACGGATGCTGTTCGGTCAATTTTCTTAAATATGTTTTACATATTTACAATGTCGTCTTATTTGTAAGTATACGCGTTTCATAGTCATTAGATTAGATCTATTAATCTATACTCCTTATTATTTCTTTATTTTAGAAAAAATCAAAATATAATTACATACACACACATACTACGTATATACTCATATATATAATATACATACATTACATATATACATATATATATCTATGTACATATACATGTGTGTGTGTGTGTGTGTGTGTGTATATATATATTTACCATTATTACATTAGTAATAGTTCTTGTTATTTTTAAAATAAACTTATCTAGACAACCTTGAACTAGTGTAGTTCTAAACAAATTCCTCTGTGTACATTTAATATATTGTCAAGGGACTTACAATATCAAACACTCATAAATAATAAAAGTTAATTGATATTTGAAGAATTGATTTTAATTAGGACCCATTTTAATTAGACTTTTTTTCACCACTCTATACATGTTATTATTATGCAAAAAAGAAATTATTACAAATTTATCAGATGACGCTCTTCGCAAATATTAATTCTTTACGAAAAAAAGAAAAAGAACTAGAATTTATTTTATATACGTCATTGCGATCGATTCTTGAATTTAAAACTACTTTCATGAAACTTTTTTTCTAATTTTGACAAAATCAATATTCGATTTTCTATTTGAATTTCATTTGGAGAATATTCTACGACAAACGAGTTCCATGAAACACCTCTGCGAATAGTATTCGGCCATTTGCCAAGCTTTGCATTAGAACGTTCCAATTGCTTCTCTACGCATCGTTATGTGGAATTATGCAAATGCGTAAATTACGAAACGTCGAGAAAGTTGCATAATATTCGAATAGCCACGAAATTTCAAATTTCAAATTTCTCATCTTATATAAATAAATATATCATGGAAACGATGTCCAGTATTTTATAAAAAAAAAAGGAAGAAATAAAATTTGGAGTTACCAATTACTTTATACAAAGAAGACCGTATTTAGAAAATTTCCAAGCAAAAGCGAAAGATTAAACTTAATATTTATATGCAAAAACGAACAAAAAAAGCGAATGTAAATTTTGTATAGGAAAATAAATGAAAGATCAGATTCATCAAAAATTTTTGATAAAAAAGAAGAACTAATAAATATTTTCTGTCAAAAGGGAAAATGAAACAAATTTTTTATAAAAAAAATAAATATCAGATTTAAGAAATTTTTTTTCACGCAAAAAAAATCAACCTCAATATATTTTGTATACAAAGAAACATGGAAGATTCAAAATTAAATTTTGTATGTAAAAATAAATGAAGGAAAAAATAGGTAAGATTAAATACAAAATAGAAAAACGATTAAAAAGACTTAATGAACTATAACTTAACTTAAAGACTTAACAAACTATAACTACAACTTAACAAAAATATAACAAAATACGATACATATACAATGTCTCTCTCTCTCCCTCTCTCTCTTTCTCTCTCTCGACATTTTATATCTACCTTATCGGCTCCCACGTTCGAGAACGCGACACGACGAAGAGGTTCATTGGTCCTTACGTTATAAATAAAGGACTAGCTATCACCAAGAAGGGATCTTCTTTAGACATATGCTAATGGATACCCACCTTTAACTTGGTCCGTTCACTCGTCTTCTCCCTCCCATTTCTCTTCCATCCATTCTCTATATCCCCATCTAATCTTTAAGACAGCCAGTCGAAGAAGATTCGTAAAATTAACCCATAAAAATATGTACCTGTGAAATTATATTATATTAATAAATCTTATACTATTAATGTATAATAATTTTATTTTTTATTAAATTTTATATTTTTTTATTAGATATATTTTCATTTTAATATTTACTTAATAATTTGTATATAATTATTTATAATGTTAATACAGAGTATTCATGTGCATATATAAAATATTCATACAGAATATTCATAGAAAATATTTGTATAATATTTGTGTATCAAAAAATATATATATATGTATATATTATATATATATATATATATATATATATATATATATATATACTATATTTATGTTTATATAAAAAGAAAATGAAATATTTGTATTTAAAAAAAGGAAAATATTTGTATAAAAAAGAAATCATGTATGCATTGAAAGGTTAATGTGTACGTTAGAAAGATTAGAAAGATATATAGATAATGATTTTCAATTTATTTTTATTTGACTGTTAATAACTTCCACATTGAAATTTTCAACGATCAATCATCTAATTAAATGGAATCGATTTATTGGTTAGAATCGGTCCACTGAAAGTTGAAATTTCCTATAGGTATCATAGAAACGCTTGCTCACAAATACAGACATCTCTATGTATATTTATGAGGAGAGCCTAAAATTGGACGTGATCAGACATATTTTGGCAAGGGAAGTAGATGAAAATCTTACTTTCGTAATTGCGTAAACGCAAGAATGTTTACGTTACGTCAGTGGGTGCACTATTTTACCGTTATATTTATATCGATGATCTATACATTGTACTGAGAAATATGATAGGAATGAGAATAGATAAAAATTATTATAAAATTATACTGATTAAATCATTGAAATATGTATATAAATTTTATAATTTTTACATTTAGATATCTCACTTCTATAATTTTTACGATAAACTAAGTGTTATTATGTTTATTTAAAAAAGATAAGTTTTATTTAGCCCTGATAAAAAAAGAATTAAATAAAATTAATATTATTTTAAAATAATTCGTAATTTCTAATAATACAAATAATATTATTTATATATTATGATACTCTATTAATATTATAAATAATATTAATTTAAAAATAATAAATGATAATATTGTGAAAAAATAGCAGAATAATATTGCGAATTTCCAGACAATTTTTCTTTTATTACAAAATTACTAATATATATATACTAAATATAAGTGTGTATATCTATACATATACCCTATAAATAAATATATATATATATATATATATATATATATATATACCGTTATAGAGTGCATATGTTTTGTTATTATCAAATTATTTCATGTATGACATAAAAAAATCTCAATATTATGTAATACTTAGGCACATCTGTTAAATATTAAACGTTAACTAACATAGTCAAATTTTCTCACTGTAGAAGTTTACTTCTGAAAGAAAGTTCTGTCATTGATGGATTAACATTCGTGCTCTCGGTGCAGCGTTTAGATGATGTCTGGGATGCATCTAAAGAGAAAAGAAAGACAGATAAACAGAGACAGAGAGAAAAAGCGAGAGAGAGAGAGAGAGAAAGAGAGAGAGAGAGAGAGAGATAAAGGCGATAGCTATTGCGGGGGCGTTTGCGGAGGCGTTTCGAAGCTGTAGAGTGGAAGACCGGCCGTAAGAGAGAATTCCAGAAAACCAGTCTAAGCGAGATTTTCAGGTTTCTCAGGACACGAGTACTTTGAATGAACGAGCGTGGACAGCTCGCGTGCTAGTTACGCTCATAATTTTGTTTCTCGATCTTGCGATATAACTACTATTTTCCCTATATAGTTCGAGAAGATGCTAGGGACTCTAGACTATCGTCTTTTATTAAAATGACTGATTCCAGTGTTTTTAACTTTTCAACAAAAATTTTAAATAAATAGGAGAAAGAAATAGAGAGGGGAGCGTTTGCTTACTCATTTATTATTAATATTATTATTATTGTTATTGTTGTTATTGTTGTTGTTTTTGTTATTATTATTATTATTGTTATTGTTGTTATTGTTGTTGTTTTTGTTATTATTATTATTATTGTTATTGTTGTTATTATTATTGTTATTGTTATTGTTATTGTTATTGTTATTGTTATTGTTATTGTTATTGTTATTGTTATTGTTATTGTTATTGTTAATGTTATTGTTACTGTTATTATTATTTCTATTTGTCTTCTCAGACTTTTTATTTCTGATTAGGAATAGGAAATCATTCGGTCTGTTATCAAGCGTGTTTTTTTCATGGCTGTTTGTTTATGGAGCGCTTAAAAATTTTTTGTGATCGTATATGTATTCAGAATTATTGATTTCTATAACTGTATATACATATTTGGGTGTTGTAATTATTATTATTATTATTATTATTATTATTATTATTATTATTATTATTATTATTATTATTATTATTATTATTATTATTATTATTATTATTATTATTATTATTATTATTATTATTATTATTATTATTATTATTATTATTATTATTATTATTATTATTATTATTATTATTATTATTATTATTATTATTATTATTATTATTATTATTATTATTATTATTATTATTATTATTATTATTATTATTATTATTATTATTATTATTATTATTATTATTATTATTATTATTATTATTATTATTATTATTATTATTATTATTATTATTATTTTTGACAATCTTTTTTCCTGGAACTCTTGAGTCATCATAATATAATACTTAATTTAATTACTAAAACAAACATGTAGAAATCAGTTTTATTAAAAAATTGTTTTCAAAGTGCAAAATGAAATTGATTCTTTTTATAATAAAATTCGAGAGTTTTATTATAAACAACCTATATATATACGTGCGTATCTATATATATGGATGTGTGTACGTCATGTATGGAAATATGATATGCATCAAAAGCAGAAAAAATTAAATTAAAGGTAGAACTAGCAACGAGCTAGGGAAATAATTAGAGTGCAAAGGATTAATTTATAATTTAAAGTAATGCGTGTATGTTATATTTAAATAATTTATCTACGAAAGTTGTATACAATTTTCATCTTAGAAATGTTGAAATAAATTATTCTAGATCTAAAAAATTTTTTAAGAAATGCCAACTAAAGTGGTTTAGTAGATAGTCAATTGTAAATATATGATAATTTCTAATATAGTAAGATATTAACAATTTCATAAAATTAAATTATGAATTGTGTTGCATACAATTTATATAAAATATAAATTAAAAATTTATTGTCAAATTAAATAATTGTATATAAAATAACTATTTGTATGTATCTATATACTAGGACAATTTGAAAAATTCTTTTTCTTCTTTTTATTTTTTATTTTTTTTTGTTAATATATAAATTCTATTCTTAAAATGAAATAGATACAAATTTTAAATAAAAGATACAGATATACATCTGAAAATAAAACAGTAAAATCGCAAAAACTTCTCAAATGGCACTCGTAATTAAGTTTTAAACTAAATATTTACATAGCTACATAATTAGATTCTAAACTAAACATTTAAAGGGAGAATAAATATTTCAAGGATTTAAAGAAAGATCCTAAACTAAATATTTATAAAATTAAAGTTTATATATTCTCTATAAATTAATGTTAACATATTTTGTATAAACTTATATAAACAGACGAAGATAAATTAATCAAGGGAAACACGAATTTGTTCGAACTCGTGTTTAATACATACAATTTCAACATACGTGTATCATTATTTTACAGTTATCCGGATTTGTGGTGGGCGGTATTGGCATTTGGACGGTCGTCTCGAAGCACAGTTACATATCTCTCATGACAACGTCGACATATCCAAGTCTCGCTTATGCCCTCATTGTCGCAGGTATTTTGGCTGTTGTTGGAAGCTGGTTAGGATGTGGTGGGGTTACCACAGAAAACAGATGCGTTCTTCTAATTGTGAGTCATTCAAAACAATTTCTATATTTTTTTATTATTATCATTTATTTCTCTATTTTACAAATGTATTTTTTTTTCTATATCGATATAGAAAAAAGAATTAAAAAACAAAAAACAAAAGTGAAGATAGCGAATCATTATCATAGAACTAAACCATAAAGATGATTTATAATAAAAGATTCTGTTTTTGTAGAATATGGTCTTGACCCTTATTATTCTTCTCTCTCTCTCTCTCTCTCTCTCTCTCTCTCTCTCTCTCTCTCTCTCTCTCTCTCTTTTCAAATAAAAATATTAATTTCGCTTTCTTGTTTTCTTTTTTTTATTTTTATTTATTTCATATTATGTATATAGTGAGATGATAATTTGCATATTTGTTTGAAAAGTTTGTTCATATGGTTGATACCTTTTTTTTAATTCGATATAAGAAAAACATATATATTGGATATATTTCAATGACATAAATATTTCTGAAAATAATATCGGTGACTTCTATAGTTTGGAAAATATCTTCGAATAAAAATTATTTCTTTTCTATTATATTTGGACCATCAAATATACCTTCTATATTAAACTTATTCTTAACATTTTAGCAAAGTATAATAATAGTATAATATATGCTATTAAACATACGTCTCTTTTTCAAATTATTTAATCCATTTAACATATCAGGTGCTTTTATTGTTAAGACTATTATTATCATCATTGAGAGAAGAGAAAAGATCTCTCTATATTGTTAATGATAAAGACGAACCAGAGGATTCAATATTTATCAGTCGTTCATACAATCATGTTTTACTCCCTTTTTAGTGATTCCATTCGCGATTCTACTCGCGATCCCTTTCACCGCCTACGCGAAACCATGTAGTTACATATATCGTATGCGCTGTAGGCGAGTCTTATCGGTTCTGGTTAGTTTCTACCATGTAGGAACAGTCAATTAAGATTTTTGTTCGTGCTCGTTAACCAAATCGATATAACGAACGTGAAAATAGAAAACGCAATTAATGAATCGAATCTTGTAATTTTCTTTTTTTGAAGAAAATACGGCCATTTTAAATAATGTATACTCGAAAAATAATGTTTCGTAAATTAATCGATTGCTATTAAGTAATATCGCGTTTTATAAGTATCATATTAATGGATTGATTTGTATATAAGTGACATTGTTACAATAAATTGAGATAAATACTTGTTTATCAATCAAATCAATAAATGGAATTTCGAGTTTTTACATTTTGAAAAATTTTGTTATAGTTTTGTTGTATTATTTTATTGTTAACTTTTTACTTTTTACTTATAATGACATTTATTTTACTGTAATATTCTTTTTGAAAGAAAAGATAGCTATTTTAAAAGATGTATACTGGAAAAGTAACGTTTCATAATTAACGATCGTTTGCTGTTACCATAATAGTATTAATGGATCGTAAATAAATAACATTATTAGAAACAAAATTTACAATAATTACATAAATTACAATAAATATATACACAATTTATTTGTCGAATCAATAAATAGGATGCTTTAATATAAGAATTTCTATTTCTTTCATTTTGCATAAATATTTAATTAGTTAGATTTATAAATAAATAAATTTAATTTTAATTTTAATTTTAATTATAATACTTTCTTAATTATAAGTGCCTCGATTACAACGACATTTAAATTAATTAATTTAATTTGTAAATATATATCAGAATTTCTAATGCGTATAGTTATTTGATTATTGTAATAAACTTTCTGCTAATAATATCACTTATTTGTGAGTAAATTTAATGATGACATACATATGCATACTAATATATATACATATCTATCACTTTCACTTTTGATCGTTCTCAGTATGTTTTCATCGTGATGGCAGTCCTCGTATTAGAGGCAGGAGTAGGCGCATTGGCACGTCTCTACGAAGAACAAGTAGGTCCAGAATTGAAGATGAATCTCAATCGAACCTTCCTTGAGAATTATTCCATAAGATCGAGAGAAACTGCTGCAATCGATCAAATGCAAAAAGAAGTAAGTATTAATCTTTGAGCATTTTTTTATATTTTTTATTACATCGAAAAAAAAGAAGAAAAGAAAAATCAAAAACTTAGGAATTCTAAGACTCGATTAAAACAATTTACAGTTTAAATGTTGCGGTGCTCTTCGGTTTGAGGATTGGTTGGTCAGTGAATGGCACAAGGACGAAGAAGTTCTTAAAAATGGAAGCCTCGTGCCTGATAGTTGTTGCAAAACACCGACAGTACTTTGCGGGAGGAGAGATCATCCGTCTAACATTCAATATACGGTGAATGATAACAGCGATATGAAAGCGATCTTAACGAAAAGCTGACATTTTGATGTTTCCTTTTTGCAGGGATGCATTTACAAGTTTCTTGAGACGACCAAGGATCATCTGATCATTCTTGGTGCCGTCGGTCTTGGTCTATCCGTCCTTGAACTTTTTGGTATAGTTCTTGGTTCGTGCCTCTATATCAAACTCAGACACGATTTCGATGATTGACAATGACATTTTTCACGAAGACAACAATTCTGACGACTAAGAGAAATGACAAAAAAAAAAAAGAATTAAAAAAAAAATAATACATACATACAAAACGAAATTAATTGACACTTCGCTTTCAAACTTTTCGAAATTATTTATTTGGACCAATTGATCTTCGATCATCGATCCTTTCTGCTCAAATTTGTTAGCAATTACACTTAGAATTTAAAAAAGTTTTTGTACGACCAATATGATAGTTGAATAGAAAAAGAGATAGAAAAAAAGAGAAATTTGTTTATTTTTGTTTATTTAATTTTATTACTATTATTATTATTATTATTATTATTATTATTATTATTATTATTATTGTTATTATTATTATTATTATTATTATTATAGTACTTTGAGCAGAAGGAATGAATAAACTCGCTGTAACCATAACTGCCTATCGGATCGTCCAATCTATGAAACTCTTAGTTGAATTTATAAAACTTTTTTCTACTTTACATGTTTTTACATGTCTGTTATTCAAAATCGTTCACATTTCTATATCGTCAAAAGAAAAAATAAGAAAATAAAAATTCGTGAAATATCTTTCGATATCTATTAGTTTCTTAAGAAACGAAGTAGGACATTTTTTTACGAAAGAAACGTTTTCTTTGAAATAAAAAAAAGAACAAATTTTCGATTATTTACGAACGACGAACAAGTTTCTTTGTTTTTATTTTTGTTTTTTTTTTAATTTTTTTTATTTTATTTAATTTTTAAGATAAACAAGATCTGATTGTTGACGTAATATAGGCCTAAATGTTGGCCTAAACTATTATTAAATAATTGCGAAACACTTAAAACAGTGCCTTCGTCTAATGAAAAGATTTTATTTATTTTCTTTGAAAAAAGAGAGAAGGAGGAGGAAGAAAGTAAGATAAACAAAACGTAATAAATTTCATCTTCTCTCTTTTTTCATCAACGTGCCAAGTAGAGAATAAAATTTAAGGAAACGAGAGATCTTTTATGTATTTATATATTTATCTGTTTAAAAAAAAATCGAATATATAAAAATCCTTATTATATATAGCACGTTATATTTACAACAAATGCTTATTTTACTTTCTCTGTATGAAGAAAAATAGTTTACATGACAACAAAATCATCGATTGCATTTATAACGCATACATATACATATTATAGCTTTTTATTTGTTTCTGTGCTAATCATCTTTTATAATCTATTCCAATTTCTTATTTTTTACCTTCGATACAGAAACAAAAATGCTTTGACGATTAAATACGATATGTGTGCTTTAAAAAAAAAAAAATACAGAAAAAAAATAAAGAAAAACGATTTCTATCGTACAGCCTTATCGTACAGGCATATATAATATAATAATTATTATTATTTTACTTTTATTGCGTTATTTCGTATGTATTAAGACGATCTTTTAAACATTAGTGTTAGCTTAACTTTATACATATTGTACATATCAAACGCTCTATTCTGTTATGAATAAATCCAAAAATAGCAATGTTTTGTGACTATAAGATAAAATCTTGTTTTAAAAAAGATATAAAAAAAAAATGAGAGAAACAAGAACACAATCCACTTGTATGGAAAATGTTCTTGAAAGTTTTAATTTTTCTTTTTTATCATCAAAGAATGATACCCTTTTCGAAAATGTTATTTTATATATGTAGTTTCTGCAGATCCTTGCATTGATTCAAGATGAATCAGTAAAGTATCCTCTCTTATCCCAATTGCCACAAAAAACCAACCTAGTATGACAAGTAAATCTTTGGATATGTTTACTTTCTTCCAAGTTGTTAATTCATCAAAAATTTCTTCCATATGCATGGTCTAAAAATTAAAGTATTTTTAATACCTACTAATACCTACAATTTCTAATACCTACATAATAAAAACAGGGTTGGTCCAATATTTTATGGGTTTATAGTACTCACTGAGATGAATAAAAAATGTTTGATTAACATGGATCTTAAAATTATTTTCAATATAATTAACTTTTTTTATTTATAAGTGTTCGATATCGTAAGGAGCCTCTTGGCAACATTAAATATACACAAAGGAATTTACTTAAAAATTAATTCAAGATTGCCGAGATAAGTTTGTTATGAAAATAAAGAAAAACTATTACTAACGTAATAATGAACTATGTGTATATCCAATATGTTGCTAAGGGATTCACTTATGATATCGATCGCTTATAAATAATAAAAGTTAATTTACATCGAAGGGATTAATTTTAGGATCCATGTTAATTAAATATTTTTTACTCATTAGTGAATACTATGAACTTTTAAGAGCCTTTTTTATCATCCTGCATATATATATATATATTTTTTTTTTCAAATTTCAAGAAATATTTTTATATCAAATAAAACTCACATCATTCCACGAGGTATTGTTAAAATATTGATAATGTATTAACGTTAATTTATCATCCACATTTGCAAATATTTCGTGCAAACATAATGTTGTTAAATACAATGGAATAGCTATGGCAGATACAACGTAATCTTTACAAATGTCTTTTAATTGATCAACATCCAAGCGTGCTAGATCAAATCTTTCGAAAAGAAATTATTAAAATTATTGAAAGAACATTTATAAACAATTATAATATTATTAGTCATACGAACTTGTCGAACGTCGAGATAACAGAAAGTACGATTAGCAATGAAAATAAACTATAGTAAATCTCGGAAAAGTGAGAATACTTCGAGATAAAATTCATCGTGGAATCAAAGAAAAATTGCATCTAAAAAAAAGAAAAAAATTAACTTATTTACACAATACAATATTCCTTGTAATTATTTAAAAATTTTTCAATGATAATTCTCACACCATTGTAAGATGTACTAAAGCCATTCCACCTAAAAGACCTTGATAAACAAATGCTATACGTTTAAACAATTTTTGAGCTATTATAGCTATACTTATAGATGAATAAATTTGTTTACTAAGACGACCTTTAGATAAGAATTTTAAAACGTTTCTTCGATCGTCCTCCTTGGTAATAATTTTAACCATGCTAAAGCCATTATCACCTTGAATGTAGATCTTATCAGTGGTCAATGGAGTTGGAGGTACAGGTTCTTCATATTTTCTTAAGATTTCTGTGATCGGTATCTCAATATTACTCGATGGATCATGTATACGTTTTCTTGACTTGTGATGTAAACGATTAGTGGAAAGACGACCATTACTTGAAGTTGATGAAAGAACTTCTTTTTCCTTAACTTTCTTAATTTCGTTTATTTTAGTTATATCAGAAGTAGTGACCTTCAACGTTTTATCTCGTTTCAAGACTCTTTTCTTTCTTCTCTCAGGCATATTTTGACGAAATTGTTTTATTTCTTTCTCATTTTTCCAAGAATTTTCTTCTGATACTTCCAATTGATCCTCCGAATTATCCTTTAATTCGTAAATATCATTCCTTGTTTCATTTTCCAATTGATTTGATTCTATATTATCATCAGTCTCCAAAGACCACTTTCTTGAGAGTCTCCGTTGTTTTCTTGAAAGTCGAATTCTTTCAAGATTATCCATCTTACGAATAAAAAGATGATGTCTAATTCTCTTCTAACTTCTTTTTTTCTTCCTAGTAGATATTTACACTTGTACATGATTGTTTATTGTCTATTTCGACAATACGAAATGTATTGCTATCGAACATGTTAAGTTACTTTTGCATAGCAACACTATGTTTTGTCCACAGTTGTCAAGGAAGAAACGTGATTTAAATATTGATCTATCTTTGTTTATGTCGAAAGAAAATTCGAAGTATTAAGCAGAATTTTATAAATGATTAAAGTAAATAAAGAATTTTTATTCGTATACAATATCTCCAAGTACATCTAAATCTAATACATACTGTATAATTAATTATTATCTATCACATATACTCTTATCATTACAGGTACTATTATATGTATTATGTATTATGTATTATTATTATTATTATTATTATTATTATTATTATTATTATTATTATTATTATTATTATTATTATTATTATTATTCATTTTAAACAACGAATCTTCTCCCAATCATTAAAATAAAAATTACTCCCTTTCATAGATACATTATATATTATAATATTGATATTACAATTAAATATTTACAGAAGAGATCACGGTAACTAAAAAATTTCTTATAAAACTTCTAAATCGCAATGTCTGATCTCTGGATGATTTTTCTATAATAAAAAAAGAGATTTACATATAGAAAAAAATGAGTATAAAGATAAGTAATATTTCAATTACCTTTAATTTTAATTCTATTCTATCAATTTCTCCACCAAGCATATCAACGATACTTTCACCATGTTTCAAAAGAAATGCTTCTAGCTCATCGATATTTTGCATAGTTTTCACTTCCTACAGAATAAAACAATAAATTGTAGAATATCTTCAAATATTAAATATATAAAAAGTCATTTAATTCATACCTCCAACATAGTAAGCAGATCATGTTTATCAAGATAAGATCTGGTTAGCTCTCGCCCATCAAAATCTAATTCGGCTTTGTATCTGACCAAATTGTTACCCATATCAATACCTTTGACATCATGAATAGCTCGAACCTAAGATTAGTAACAAATAGAAAAAAAATAGAAAGAAGATAGAGTGTAATTAATTTGTACAATTTATTATGACTATCATTTTTACCATTATATCGGACTCTAATACAGCATTGATTTTGTCAAGATTTTCTTGCGATATACTTCTCCCAACTAAAGCTGCAACATTGGTATAAATTATAAAGGATGCTACTCCGCCAAGAAGACCTCCAACTAATAAGGATCCAATAGCATCAAAAGTTGAATTTCCTATGTAGGAGGTTAAACCCATACACGAAGCGGCACAAACTAGCCCTAATACCTGGCGAATAGTTTCATTACAGTTTATTCAAAGCAAAGTATAAAAATATTTTCAATCACATGTGTTGTCAATTTAACAAGTAAACTATCTTACAGCTGCCAAATCTTCCATTAAAACGACGTTAACCGATGGATCTTGACCTGATAATACATATTCCCAAAAAGTTTCTTTTTTCTCCTCTGCTCCTTTTTTAATAGAATTTATAGCTACTAATAAAGTGGCTCCTTCGGAAACTAAGGATCCACCTAAAATAAAGTATGCCCAATAAAAAGACTCTACAGATGCAGGAAATAGAAGTCCGTGAATTCCGTGATAGATTGATAAACCTGTACCGACACAAAAAATGCCTACGCCCGATATTAAAGAGGATACATATTTCATGTTGGTATAACCGTATGGATGATCGGCATTAGGATTCTGTAACATAATTATTTCTTGTTATTTTAACAGTTATTATTGTTACTTGTATTATTGTTATTATTATTTTATATTTTATTTTTTATATTTTATTTACTTGAACGGATTTATGAATGCCATAAGCTAGAATCAATTGATTACATGTGTCTGCTGCTGAATGTATACATTCTGAAAACATACTATGTGAACCCGTATATATCCAAGCGAACAGCTTAAATAGAAAGTTACTTGCATTTCTGTAATAAAATGCAATATGTTATTTTAAATCAAATGTTAAGTTGAAAAAAATAATGCTATATATATAAAGTAATATCAAAACTTACATAACAACTGCCGTTAGTACTACTCGTCCGGATCTACCAAACAAGCCCTCCGTTTCTACCGTCTCAGTCTTATTACCCATTTCCCGTCTATAGTCTCTCAATCTTCGTTTTACAGTGAAAATATCTATGATGATTATATTAACGTTGCAAGAATGACTTGTTAAATATTTAACCAATGACAAACTTCATATAATTACTGTTGTAATTTTAGATCTACTTACTTTGTTGGTACGTTTTCCGTTCAAGTTCTTTCTTCAGAAGCTCTTTTAATAAAGCTTCACGTGACCCCCAGACTTCCAGTGCTCTAAAAGCAGTACAACCTTACTGCATTCGATCAAATATCTTCGGCATCGTAAACAATCATATAGTATGCTGATCCATGTAATAAATTCTCTTACTTAGCTTCAACATCTTTTCTCCAATAAACAGTAATCGGCGGTTCAAATTCGTACGGAGATCTTCGCTTTGTTTTTGGTAGTATTTCAAGATCGGATGGTTTCAACAGAAAGTCATTCATAGCTTTTACCGGTGTAATAAAGTTGCGTTCCAACGATGCCGTAGATCTATCGACTCTTAACCTTTTCTTTGCTATAAAAAAAATGATTTACCAAGAATCGTTATGAATCTTTTTAATTGATAAATACATACTCTTCTTCGACGTAATATCTTCTTCAGCAGTTTCTTTACTTTCTATTACAGGCTTATCGATAAACTCTGCTACCTTTGCTGGATCTTTCTTTTTCTTATCATCAATCTCAACAACTGGCTCCACATTTAAAGGCCGTTCTTTCAGTTTTCCTAGTTTTTCTTCGTTTAATTCAATTACTCTATCCTGACCATCTTGGATAAATATCTTTTCTTGTTGAAGCAAATCTCCGATCCCCTTTCCTTTTATATCGTCGGATGCTGTTCGCCGTGTTATAATACAAGTCCATTTTAAGTCTCCAGTTTTTCCTGCTTTTTTTTGACCAAAATTGCTCTGACTATTGGAAATCACGTGTACCTTACAACGTACACCATGGTTAGGTGTTATCAATATATTAGAGCGTCTCCTTGACAAACCTATTTGGAAAATGCAGTGTTCACCGGTACAGTGGCAGCTAATGTTTCGGAAGAAATTCAAAAGGGTGTAAGATCTGTGCAGCATAATTCTCTCTATATATCTAAAATGCACACAAATTTGATTTCGATCTGAAAAAGAATATACTAACTTTTATTTTTAATACGAGAAAACAATTCTATATTTTTATTGTACATAAAGAAAAAACAAGAAACACAAGAATTTATGAAAGTCAAAAGTGTTTACAGAACACTGGAATAAAAATAATCCAAGATATGTAATGTATATATGTATGAATATATGATGTACATTTTTCGTATCTATGATTTTCACATGATATCTTAAATTCTATGAAAAAAAAAAACACTTTATTTTTATAATTTACTTACAATTTTTAATTTTTAATGATCGATCAACTTTTGATTTGAAATAGGACACGAATTTTACTTTAAACTGTCAAAAACCATTCTAATTGTCTCGCGAAAAGGCTATGAAACGTCCTTTTTGAAGCCATTTGGTTAATTTCATGGAAATAAAACATATCAAGATGGCGGTAGTGTCATAATGTTCATAACATTTGATCGTATTATTAGATTTCGGTTGACAATAAAAAATTTATTCTTTGCTAGGAAAAATATTTAATTTTTTATATCATATATTTAATAAATGTTTTTTTCTCCGCTTTCTAAAAATTTAATTAACTAATATAAACTTTCTTATTTACTGGCACGTTATATTTACCAATTACTAAACACTAAAATAACTATTTACAATGCTAGTAACTAATTAAATATTTACATTTGTATGTCGCATTAGTAGTTGGCAACACTAATCGTTTTGAATAGCAATGAACTATATAGATTGTGCGAGGTATGAAAATAATGTTATACAACTTTCAAGGGGAAATTTATTAAATAATAGAAAAACGATCAGACTAATCGAAACTTATTGTTTATAACTTTATTATAATTTCACTGAAAAAGAAGTTATAATTTATATTTAACGTTGATATCTATCTGACATACAATGTCAGAATTTATTATTACATAAAAAAACAACGTAACTAATAGAAAAAATATATACAATCAGTTATTAGATAAAAACGATTTATATATACAATATAATTTATAAACTAGTGGATAGTGATTGAGATTATGATTGAAATGAAAACTTATTTAAAAGGATTTTAAATACCGTTGTCTGTCAATTATTTAACCAATCTGAAAAAAGAATTATAATATTCATAACGTATATACATAAAAATTATAGGAATGTAATGTATATATTTGACAATTATTATATACCTTGGTTTCTTTATTGAATTTTCATCTTGATTGTCTTCTGCGTAGTCTCGGAAATACGAATGGATCAGCTTAAAAAAGATATATATATATATATATATATATAAAATTACATAACAAAGTTTCCCGATATTTGTAATTATAAAATTATAAAATATATAAATAAATAAATAAATAAATAAATAAATAAATAAATAAATAAATAAATAAATAAATAAATAAATAAATAAATAAATAAATAAATAAATAAATAAATAAATAAATAAATAAATAAATAAATAAATAAATATATATATGTAATTTTATCTTTAATTTCATTATTAATATTGCATATCTGAACTTACTTTGTTTATATCGTTATTTTGACATAAATCCGGATTACATTGACAATTATTACATATACGATCATTTTTGCGACATGAACAGAGACGAGTGATGCATTTTGTTTTACAGGCGCACTTCACTTCCCCGTCAGATGAACGCTTTATAGATTGCCTAGGATTTTTTGTTGTATCCTGGACATAAAAATAATATAAGTAAATATATAATTATATTCATATATAAATTAGGATTAAAACTTATGTATTATACCAAAAGCTTTTGTATTTTATTATAAAGTGGTGTTCGAGTCCAATCTGGATCTTTCTCTACATCATCTTCAACAAAACTATCATCTGATATAAAAGAATTCTCATAATATGTTGAAGATATTTTTTGTACTTTTGGAGTACTCATAATTGAAGAAGTCTCATTGTTCGTCCTAGAATTATTCTCTTTTAAAACCTACAAAATATATATATACGTGTTATCAATAAATAAATATATATAATGCTTATATTTTTATATTTTGATTATAAATATTTATTAAAGGATAATCTAAAATAGATTATACTTTTCTCTCAGGTTGATTTAGTTGATCTTTATAAGTTTCTATTTCTTGTTTCAGTTTCTCTTCTCTTTGACGACATTCGTCCAAATTGGTTTGTAAATTTGTATATTTTTCCTAAAATTATATTACATTTAATATGATAGAAAACTTCATATATAAAATGAAATGTCAATTGTTAGGTATATTATAATACAATAAACCTACCATAAGCTTCTTCCTATCTTCTGCGGTAACGTCAAAAAGAAATTTAATGGCAACTTTTGCATCTGCCATAGTTTGTATCGTATTAATTCTTATATTTGCTCTATTTTCTGTAAAAAAAAAAAGAATTATATATATAGATGTACATAATACTTTTCATAAAAGTGTATATTATTCATGCATACATAAGAGTTTATTTCTATACCTTCGTTTGCTTCGTTAATTTTTTGTTGTAAATCTTGTATTTGTGTACTACGCAAAGTCAAAAATTCAGTAAGTTCTACCAGTTCTGTCTCATCTACATTAGAATCATTTTTAAGTTCTTCTAATTGAGATTTTAAAAAATTTCTGTCACTTATTAATTTTTGAAGTGAATTTTCTGCATCCACTGTACTCAATAATATTTCAAGTTCTTGTCTCACCCATGATTGAATGTCATTTTTGTTATTGAACGTCTTTTCTCTCCTTTCTTTTGCTTTCTTTTGTACTTCAAGTGCTTCCTATTATAAATATTAATATCACAAATTATAAGCTAACTATTTTTTTTCCTTTTTTGTAAAATTCACATAAAATCTAATGTATAAGTAAAACTATTTAATTTACCTTTAATCTTTTATTAGCTGCATAAGCTTCTTCCATTTTTCTCTTGAATACATTTTGTTGTTTATCATGTTGCATTTGTAATCGCGCCATTTGATTAGCTCGTTTTCTATCTAACTCTTTTAACTTGTTAAGTTCTTTTTCTCTGGTTCGTTTCCATTCAGCGAATCTATCCGCATCGCTACGCATTTGTCTAACTAATTTCACTCGAGTTTGTTTTAATGATTGAATTTCATTTGTTAAATTTTTAATTTGTTGTTGCAATTTCTCTTTAGCTTTTAACGTTTTACTTTGTTCTAAACATTTTTGAGTCAATTCCGTAATCTTTTTCTCTAACTCTTGTACCTTCTTACGTCGACTTTCTGCTAATCTGTATAATGTATAGTAAAAGATCATTAATTTATATATATTGAATTACACACATGAAAATATAAATAATTCAAATAACAATGGATTTGGACTTACTTCGAGCCAACATTATTGGCTTGAGCATTGCGCAATGCTACTAAAAGTTCATCCTTCTCAGCTTGAAGTGTTTTGATTTCTTGTTCCATATCTTGCAATTCTTTAGAATATTCAATCATATGTGAAGAATTTTTTAAAAGTTCAGATATGAGATGTTCCTTAATAGCCAATTCTCTGTTTATATCTTGAACTTGATTATTTCTCTCCGTTTGAAGCAATGTATGCTCTTCATGTTTCTTATCAAAGTCTTCTAAACAGTTAGTTAATTCTCCATCACTAGCTGCATTATCTACATCATTTTCATTATCTTTTATTATAGGTGATTTCAATTCCAAGGACATTGCATGATTAAAGATTTCTTCCGATGTTTTCTTTTCATTTGTTTGTATATCTAGATATTGAATAACAAGTTAATCACAAAATCAAATCATAAAGAATAATGAAAACATTGTGCAATAAAAGCTTACCAAGTATTTTTTGATATATAACTTTTAATTTAACATAATGTTCGTCATTATGTGTAGAACTTTCACTAAAACTATCTAATAATTCTTTACAATCTTCCAATACTAAAGCCATCTCAGCTTTAATTTTATCATGTAATTGTTCTGCTAATTCAGTTTTTTCATGCATAAAAACCATTTTAATTAAATTGCCGTTTAATTGTTCTGTCAGATCTCTAATCTTTTGTTGTAATAATTCATTCTTCTTTTGTAGCTCTTGACAATCACTCGAACATGATTGCTGTGATTCTTTATGTAAAAGAGCAAGTTTCAATTTTTGTACTAATTCATTTAAACGATTAATTTCAGCTACTCTTGGATCTTGATTCACCACCGGTTTATTCTTTATTTTTCGTGCACGATCTGCATATCTTAATGTGCTAAGTGTTTCATCCATATTATAATCTATGCAGAAATATATCATATAAAATTTTTCCAGAAAGAAACAGACTCGTACATGAACTAGATAAATAATTACTTATTCACTACATATTTAATATATTACCTGCTGGACTGACACAAGCTATCATAAGAGTCATAGAATTACCACCTAGTGAATCTTGTAATAATCTTGTAAGTTTGCTATCCCGATAACCAACATACGAATTATTTCCACCATCTCCTAATTGAGAAATAACGTTTCCTAATGCCAATAAACCTTTATTTATGTGTACACCTTCTTTGAATCTTTCTCCAGTTGCTTGTGTTTTCTTAGAGCGTTCTGAACCAGCCAAATCTACTAGGTGAAATTTTGCAGTTGTTGCTGTATTTCTGTAATACGAGAGATATAAAGAAAGAGATCGCTTATTTTTTATATTTTTAATATTAAATAAATATTATACTAAATAATAAATAAATAAATAAATAAAATAAATAAATAAATAAATATTATACTAAATAATAAATAAATAAATAAATAAATAAAATAAATAAATAAATAAATATTATACTAAATATTATACTAATAAATATTATATATAATATTATACATATTATATTAATATGAATATTTGGAGAAAAAACTTACGGATCATTTCCTTTTTGTTGTTGAATATGCAACGTAAATATCGCATGACTTCTACTACTTTGAGCATTCATCGCTGTAGAACCTGTTACTCTACCTTGCGATCCTTCAATTAAACATTCTAAACATTCTTCTGCATTTTGTACTTCCTTTTCAGTAACACCAATAATTCTTATTCCCTTATTATCTTCTCTAATGTCAACAGTACTATGAGTACGTTGTTTGTCTGATAATAAGTCATATAATTGTTCTTGATACAGTTCCATAAAGGAGACAGATGTCCTAAAGTTCCATTCTTTTTTGGATGCGACTATTTTAAATATATCTTGCATAGCTCGAGGTATAATGCCCATATCCTCTACCCCGCTATAATCTGTACCCATTGAATGCGTTTTGCCACTTCCCGTTTGACCATAAGCCAGTATTGTAACATTGTATCCTACAAATTTATAAAAATTAAATAAAATAAAATAAATCATATCATACATAAAAATTACCAAATTTAAAAAAAATTCTTAATTTAAGATTAACAATAATTTTATTTACAAGTAAAATAACGATATGTTTTTATATAAAAAAGACTTATTATTAAAGATTTGAAAGATAATAAAAAAAAATCATAAAATTTTGATAATAGTTATCCTAATTTAGTTTACATAAAATTTGTTTCATAAATACCATCAAAAATACGTGTCACCATTTCTTTAATAGCTGTGTTATAAAAATTTTCTTGGTTAACATCTGGAGCAAAAACATAATTAAATGTAAATGCTCTATCTGTATTTTTTATAATTATTTGTGGTTGTCCAGGTGTTGTATCTAAACATTCTTCACAACCCTTTTCTATTTCACTTTTTATCAGTGGTCTGATACGCACGGCCACACGGATTGTGTCTTCAACCATCTCCAAAAATATATCTTGTTTATATTTATTAAATAATTCTTTGCAGAACTTTTACTTTATACCTTTATCTTTTTAATTATTTTTTAAAAGATCGTAACGTTGCACGCTTACCGTTACGTGTTTGAGATTTGAAAATCCAACTCGCGTAGGTTAGCCAACTTCATGTAAGAGAAGAAAAATTATCACTACATTCCTAGAATGGCGCTGATGTCTACGTTCTGATCTGAGTATAGGAGTTAGTATTACCAACCCCTGATGCGACATCTGAATGTAAATATTTATAATTAGTTATTAACATCGTAAATATTTATTTTTAGTGTTAAGTAATTGATAAACACGACCTACCAGTAAATAAAAACGTTCATGTTAGTTAATTAAATTTTCAGAAAGCGTAGAAAAGAACATGTATATCGATATTACGATATAAAAGTAAAGATATTTTTTCGTTATTGTGATGACTCCAAATTACATGTTATATAACATCGTAATGAAACGACGCCATATTGTTTTTTACCAGTAATTTCATTACATCTCTTTTATAATTTTCGAAAATGTGTTTTTTATTTTTCTCTTCTTTCTTTTCTTTCTTTATCTACAATTGTTATGCACAATTAATTTCTGACGAATACACAACCCTGACGCAACCCTGACGCATATCATGCGTTATAATACAATCATTAAAATATATCGTAAAATAGCCGTTTCGTTATCTAAGTTTCACACGTTCATGCTAATTTTTTTGTCATGTGAGAGAATTTAATATTAATCGACGTGTCTTTTATTATTAATTAAATAAGATGCATAGGTTATATACGTAAGAATACGAAGCAACTAAGATTTGCGTGGCAAATTTGAAATAATCTTCGAAGTAGTTGAATATATAATATAATGACATTATCATGACATATTATCAAATGTAATGACGTATTACATTTATCGTTCATAAAATGTATAATCTACAATTAAAGAAATTTAATGCTAAACATATATGTACTAAATGAATCGATTATTTTGAAGAATGTTCGAAATATATTTGATGTTATATCTATATATTAATTCGATATAATGAGAACATCGAATCGGTTAATCATTGCGATATATTTCAATATCAACATTTTTATTTATTTTTTCTTTTTTCAATTCGGTTTATATAATGTATTATTTTGTTATATTCCTTTATGAAATCTTACTTACGTAATATTTTTTCGAAATAATACTCTCGATATAAAAAAGAACAAACGAAACTTTGCACTTTGCACGATGATTAAGATTATATGAAAGAATTGTTAGTATTGTGTATCAAAAAAATAAATTAAATAATATTTAAGAAACCAAAACTTTCTATTTTATATCTTAGAATGGTTTTGAACATTCGTGGTGTATGTGTGTGTTGTGTGTGCGCGTATATATATATATCACAGATTAGAATTGGATGCCAAAAAAGAAAGAAAAATATATAGAGGAGGCGGGAAAATTTGAGATTCAATCAAATGAATTCGTAAAACGTACTTAATAACAATATCAACAGTGATTCATTTATAATGACTAGAGAGCACGTATTATTACGTTCGATTCTATTGTAAATACTATAGCTATAATCATCATCATCATCATCATCATCATCATCATCATCATCATCAACATCATCATCATCATCATCATCATCATCATCATTATCATCATCATCATCATCATCATCATCATCATCATCATCATCATTATCATCCTAAATCAATGAAAAAATATTTTCGTTGTTAATAGAATATTTTCTTGATGTTATCCGTTGTTATTTAATTATAAATTAGAAAGAGGCAATGTAGGAGAGCGGAAGAGGTAGGAGAGATAGTGTTAAGTATCATTATCGAAGCGACGTGCTTTCTGTAATAGTTATAGTTGAAGGACTTTTCTTAGAATTTCCATAACGCCCAATAAGTGTTTTTTGATTTGAATTCGTTGATTTCAATCTCGGACGTATCGGCGAATCTTCTCTCGGACTGCCATTAATATTTTCAAAATCCCAATTGGTAAAGTGTTCTTCAAATAATTCTTCGAGTTTCTTTGATAAATTCTCGATCTTTTTCACTCGATCAGTGTCGTTCTATCATAAATAAGTTTCTTTTCTTATTAATTCTTATTAATAAGATAGAGTTAATAATATTAATATAATATTGATATATTAATATAATATATTTTTGAATATAAATTTTTTATAAACTTTTATAAATGATATATTTATAAATATAAACATAAATAGATATTTATAAATTTTTATAAATTATATATTTATAAGTATAATATATAAAAGTCTTACACAAACGATTGCTTCATTTAGTAACTATTGAAAAATAAATGTCTATGAAAAATGAATAAATAATGAAAAAATGCAAATAAATATTACAAACCTTGTAATAAATTTTCGAATTATGAACAATCCTTCGAAAATCTTGAACAGCATGCTCGATCTTATGATAAATCCGATTTTTAATTTTATATTCGACCGTTTCGAGAAACAACGGACTTTTAATAGCTTTGCAATAATCTTCCATCTGCAAAATCGCCTATAGATTAGTTCAAATAAGCGTCTAATAACGAGAATAATTTATATTTTATTATGATGACTAACCGTTCCGATTGTAGTGGACGATCGATCGGTATTATCGATCGAGGGCGGACATTTAAAAATTTTTATTTCGTCCATTTGACAGAGAGCTCGATAAATAGCTTCTAATTTACTCAAAGCAAGCGGACTTAGGCTTTGCTTTCTTCTTGAACTGTACCAAACCGACCAACCCCGATCATTCGATTTATTTCCATATTTTGTTTCAACAAAATTATCGATTGTATCACTATTATCTCCTTTCTTTTTACATTGCAAAGATTTATTTGCAGAAGATTTAGAAGATAAATTGATCATCGATGAAAATGACGTTTCGTTTCCTGCCATTTTTGATTTCGAACAAGAGAACGATCCATTTTCCGATCTACGATCTTCATTATCGTCTATAATTCTCGATGGATTTTTAATCGGGGGTTTTCGTGATTTATGTAACAAGTGGTAAGATCTTTCAGTATCTTTGCGTTGACATTTACGTCCAGGGATCGGTACGATCGTAGTATAATTTAAAGATGGACTCGAGGTTACAGGTTTCTTCTTTACCGATCGTATTACGTTAGACGATGATCCGGTAGAAAGTCCTGTCGATCTGCGTACAGTTTCCGAATAAGTAGCACGTCCTACAGTATTTTCAGTATCCTTTTTGATCTCAGTTAAAAGATCGTTTTCGTTCACTCGATCGGTGATACCAATTTCTCTGGAAGTAATCGTTTCTTCTCGATCTTTGATCGTTGTAGTAGCTGTGATCGTTGTTGTAGTCAAACCAACAGCTGTTATCGAAGTCAAACATGTTCGTTCTTCCTCGATCATCGAACTGTTCGAGGATTCTGAACTTTCTACTATAGTAAATTCATTTTTTCTTCTTCTCTGTTTACCCATCATACTAGCATTGTTGAGAGTTCTGATAAGCCATGAATCAGTTTTCACGTTAGTTTTAGCATTACGATTCTCTTGCGAATTTAAGAGAACGTTCGTACGTGGAGATAATTTACTAGTTGATCCAGAATCATCTTCGGATGCTTCGTAACTTGATGCATCGATTCCTACAACATTCTTACGTTTTTTCATTGATTTTATTTGATTATGTTGAGCTAGTTTCTGACGATGCAAATTTTTCAATGACTCACGATCTTCTTTATCACTTCCTTTCTCAATTTTAGTATCTTCGTCGTCGTCGGAGTCATCATCATCGTCAAAATCATCATCGATCGTCTCTTTTACCGTATCCTTTACGTTGAGAACTTCTAATAGGATTTCTGCAGAAGCACATGCTGCCTTCCAAGTAACGTCTTGTTCAAGATTGTCCTTGATTGGGGTAACACGTTTTAAAATGGTCGGTGAATTGTGTAACGAGATACTTTGTGTTGTTGTAGAATTTAATGTAGTTCGAGTTACTGGTGTCGAAGATGCCAATACTCTAGGGATTTTCTCTCTTCTAATTGAATGCATATTCCTATGATTATTCCCAGAACCACGTAAATTGTCTGCACGTCGTGTATTAGTCTTTCTCTGATGTCTTTTCTTCGGTACATTGTAACTACCAGGTTTCATGTAAACTCTTACATCTTCCGAACTGTCGTATTCTTCAGGAATTTGATTGTGAACATTTAATCGTTTACCAAGAATGTGTTCAGCATTCCAAGGTGCACTTTGAATACTTTGCATGTTCCTTAATGTTTGAAGTTGTCGATTCGTATCGATTTGTAATTGTCTGGTAAAGTCTATCGTCTTCCTGGCGAGAGTTTCTCCTCGATGAGACAACGAGTGGTGTTGAGTAATATGTTGTTGTTGTTGTTGTTGTTGTTGTTGTTGCTGCTGCTGTTGTTCTTGTTGTTGATGTTGCTGCTGCTGCTGCTGCTGCTGTTGGGCTTGTCCATTAGTATTTCTCATGCTGGCGAACCAAGCTGAGAGATTAGCAGTCATCTCTTCGGATTCCTTTTCTGGTATATCCGGTTCGATTTGACTTAACAACGTCATTCTATTTCTTGGAACAGCTGATAATTCGAGTTGATCAGTTGATGATTTGCCGATATAAACTGGAGCACCAATATTCGATTTATTCTCGTACATTATTCTACTATCGACGTGTGCTATCGGAACATTGTCATTATCAGGATAGAAATTTCTAGCTAAAGTATTTCCAAATATTGAAGGATCATAATTCATATTTGTAGTTGGTCTTTTAATACCGTAAACCAATCCTGTATTCATACATGGCGATGGAATGCTGCCGTCAAAAAAAAACTCTTGTTTTTTGTCTTTCAATAGCCATTCTTTCGAACTCTCATGATTTCTCTTCATAACGGTGCTTTTCAAATGAAAGAACTCTGCGTTAAGAGATCGTTCTGATGTATCAATTTTGCCGGACAACGAGGAAGCGTTTTTGCTGCGAAATCTGCTACCTGTTCGCACGTTATTTTTTGTACGATTTAATGATTTCTCATTGCCTATCGAAGATACTAAATTTTCGGTAATTGTCCACTTACTTCGTAATTTTGTTTCTTTGCGGTAAGTTTTTTGCGTACCGTCGGTCGATAAGGTAGGTCGTTGTTCTTCATTCGAAATTTCTTTTTTATTTTCCTTTCGATGAGAAAGATTAGAATCATTCTTTAAACAGTCAAAGAGATCGATCGACGTATATAAAGTTACGTCTCCTGGGAAAGATGTCATGGACGTCTCAACAAGTCTTTCGCCTTTATCAGGAGATATGCGACTATTCTCTTCCAATCTTAAAAAAGTTTCTACGATCTGCCGAAGCAATTCGTAAGTACTTTCTTCCCACTTTTGAAAACATCGAAGTAACTCATCATCTAATTTCTCAGCTAGGCTGGGATAATGTTGTTTGTTCAAATAATTGTCGAGAATGAGCCAGCCGTTGCTAACTCGTAACAAAGCTTTTATCAAGTCTTTAGCAAAGATACGATCCCCAGCGAATATTGGAAAGCAAGTTGAAGATTTTGTGATAGCTGTTCTAGTAGCCGAAGACAAATTTATCAAACGATCGCACTTTCCATTGTTTTCCAATGTTTCTGAATTGAGGACAATCTCGGCTTTGGTGCAACCCCAATAAGCCGTTTTTCGAATCAGTTCTGGATATTGTAATCTGTCCGTACATGGACCATCCGTTTGAACGGCTATAGATTTACTATTCTCACTTTTATTACTTTCATCCGTGCAAAAATTAGTGAACCAGTTGTTTTTGTTCGATGGATTATCACCAGCTCCATCGAAAAACACTATAGCTTCAGATTTTGTTCCATTACGTGATTCTTCTTTGCTGAGATCGTTTGATGATGTAGTGTTGCACAATGCCGAGACCATTTTTTCAGCTTCGAGAGTGAATTCGAAACTTGCTGAAGATTCGTCTGAGCAAGCACCTTCTTCTTGTATCTTCTCAACTATTCGATTCTCCACCGTCCGTGGAACAGATGATTCTTTTGAATTTGGCTCGAAATTATTCACTGAAGTTGCTTTGTTTTCATGTACCGACCAGTCTCCGTGATTATCTGTCTTATCAATCGAATTGATGGGAATTGTGTTACCGACGATCGGTAACTTATCTTTCGAGTATTTTGAAAAAGTATTGTCAATATTAGTTTCTGATAATTTTTCACGTAATTGACCAGCAAATAATAAATCTATTTGTGAATTTGGAAATATTTGTGTAGCTTGTACCGTTTGTATCGGTCCTATAATCTGATTATTCGAGAAAGATGTTACAGTAGTATATGGATTGACGTTTGCTAATTGAAATGCATTTGGATTCATCGTTTGCAAACTGCAAGCATTTGCTGAAGATATGTTGTAATAAGAATTATGAGTCGATGGTTGTTGACGTTGAACTAGCTGAGATTTTTGTCGGTCTTGGAGCAAACAGAAAGTTTGTGTGTCCGATGGCTTGACATATGGGGTTTGAGGTATCAATGTCACAGCGGAATTGTTGTAAGATTCTCCTGGAAGTCCACCACGTGCAAAATTCGATGATGTCAGGATAAATGATGTGTTTGATGATGGTAACGTGGAGTTGCTCGAATCTTGTTCAAAAACAAGCTTGGAATTGTAGAATGATTGTTGAGTATGTTGTTGCTGCTGCAGGTGTTCTTGATTATATTGTTGTTGGCCACGATTAATCTTATTCTTGAATTGCCACCTATTGGTCTTGCCTAGGTGTATATTTAGAATGTTTACGTTAACGATCATTGAAAGAATCGGGCTGGTTGATTGTAAACAGATTATTAGCGATCTCTAGAATTTAACCTTGCATTTGCAAAGAAATGGGTGTTGATATTCCTGCGTGTCGTTGAGCTGTAGGATAAATACATGTTGGATGTATTCCTGGGGCATAAGGCTGAAGAGGTATTACTGGATTGACGATAGGTCCGTAAAGGATTTGTTGTTGTTGTTGTTGTTGTTGTTGCTGTTGCTGCTGCTGCTGTTGTTGCTGCTGCTGCTGTTGTTGCTGCTGCTGGTGATGATGGTGGTGGTGGTGGTGGTATTGTTGCTGTTGTTGTTGCAGAAGAGACGATGTTGATGCATTCGGAACGGAAGATTGCAGAGACGACTGGCTCGATCGTGAAGTCGCTGAATGCATGATCCAATCGAGCCAAGGATTAATATCTTGGCTGAGTTTCTGTTAAAAACGATTGTACCTTTTGCTTCTCATCTATGATAAAAATCTAAGTTGTCAATTGACACTTATACCTAACCTCTTTAGCGCGAACATGATATTTTCAATTTCTTTCAAAAACAAAATTTGACATATATTGTCATTAATTCGAAACTCACGAGAACTCACCTGACGAACAATGTTCTCTCGAAACTAGGTAAAGGTTTTCCTCGTACCTTTGCGAGAGTATTCCAATAATATTCCGAAATATTCTCAGGCATAACATCGTACACTTGCGATTACTAAGCCAAACCAAGTTCATGTGAAACTCGGTTTAAACAAATGGCAATGTGATTGAATGAAAAGAAAAAAAAAAGAAAAAAAAGAAATACATAAAAGACGAGACGAATTGATGATCGAAAGTAACGGGTCAACCAAATTGACAGGTTGCTGTTATAGTGATCGAAGAACGTATAAATTCTCTTGCATGTTCATTCGACGGTTTTCTTGAAATATATGTGTTAATTATCACATGAAATATATATATTAATATCATAAAGTAGAGATTTCGTCTAATAATATTAAAAAGGACAAAAAAAAATACTGGAAAAGAAAAACGTTTTGATGATGACAATAGTAATTAATAATTAAACAGCTCGAATATATATATTAAACGCGTTATTGAACTCGAAGACCGACTTGAAAACGTAAAGAAAAAAAAACGGATGGCAGACGGCCATCGGTTCATAAACAAATTTTTTTTTCTCGTTGGTAACAAAGAAACGAAGAAAGAAAAAAAAATTTGACTGCCTTTAGATGGGCGAGTCACATGTCTTTATGGGGAAATATCCTAATATCTCTCTATCTCTGCTTGTAGATTTTTATTAAAATTAACAAGATGCGATAAAATACATGTGAACGTCGACGATAATTTTTTTTCTACAAAAAAAAAAAAGGGGTGAAATAAATGTAATTAATAAGAACGATCGATCGATTAATCAAGTCGAATCGAATCGAGAATAAAATCAAATCGATTCGATCGGTCGAATGTAAAAATTCTTAACAAGAGATGATGATTCGTGATATTAATTAAAGTGCTAATCAAATTAACGTGCGCAAATCGTTCATCGCAATTGTTTAATCGTGGATTTGAGATGGATTGGAATACGTTTAACGTTCCTTATATATAATATCTCCCATTATGTATATATTATTATTATTATTATTATTATTATTATTATTATTATTATATATTAAATTTCTATCTTACTTTCGTAATTAAAAACGTATCGATATTAACATCGGACATATAGATTTGAAAAGTCCGAACTTAACAAGACGATACGCTTTCCCTTTCATTCTCTATCATTCTCACTCTTTTTCTTTATTATTAAAGCTCTCTACGCAATAAAATTTCTTGAATGAACACAGTTTATGTAAGTTATGTATGTATATATATATATATGTGCGTGCGCGCGCGCGCGCGCGCGCGTGTGTGTGTGTGTGTGTGTGTGTGTGTGTCTATTCATGTATATGTATGATACAATGTAACAACTTATTTTACTTAGGTACTCCATACAAATAATTTGTTGCTTCTCTGTTTTTGATATAAAACTTTGGAGAAAAAATACGTCATCAATAATACAATTTTTGTACATTACAATAATAAAATTTGTAGCTTTTTTTATATACGATAGAATCTTTTCATTGCTTTATTTTATTCAAGGATTAGAAATTAGAGAGATCTAATCGTTGAATAAAATATTTTTTTGTTATACAAATAATTTGATTTAAAATGAGAATTATTGTGCTAGAAAATGAATTCGAGATATTTTTGTATCTTTCTCTCTCCCTCTCTCTCTCTCTCTCTCTCACCCTTTCTCCCTCACACTCTTTTACACACACATTCTCTCTCTCTCTCTCTCTCTCTCTTTCTCTCTCTTTATAAGATTATTTAACAGAAGAACAAAGAAAAGTGTCAAAAAAAGATTATAAAGATACAATCATACATAAATGTGTTTGTATGCATGTGCCTGTATGTGTGTATTTGTTTATATTATTTGCTACGTCGAGCTGTTGAGTCAAACGTTTAATCTAAAATCACACGAATATTCGGCGCAATTGAGACGAATAAAGAAAAACATTCTCATTATTCTCTCGCAAAACCATAGTACGCGAAATGTCTAGAGCTTCGTTCTCTCTTCGTCCTTGATATCTCACTTCCTTTCTTGTTTTCTTTTTTATCTTTTTTTTCTTTATTTTTTTTTCTTTTTTTCTTTCCTTATCTATTATGAGCTTCATAGGACCTTGGAACGACCGTACACGTTTTACTAAATCTAGAAACAACGGCCCTTCGACGAGTAGAAAAGACGAAAAGGAAACATCGCACTAATTGTTGTTGTTATTATTATTATTATTATTATTATTATTATTATTATTATTATTATTATTATTATTATTATTATTATTATTATTATTATTATTATTATTATTATTATTATTATTATTATTATTATTATTATTATTATTATTATTATTATTATTATTATTATTATTATTATTATTATTATTATTATTATTATTATTATTATTATTATTATTATTATTATTATTATTATTATTATTATTATTATTATTATTATTATTATTATTATTATTATTATTATTATTATTATTATTATTATTTCAGTTTTTCTTTCTTTTCTGATTTTTTTCTTACGAATTTTCATTTTATAATAATGGTGGAAAAATGGTTGACGATCGCGTTAAAAATTATGCTATCGTTTTTACCATTATTTCTTTTTTCTTTTATTTTTTTTTTCTTTAATTTTTCTTCTAAGAAACTTTCTTTTTCTTTTTTTTCTTTGATGATATTCTACAAAATTTTTTCCTTCTTTTCTTTTTGTTTTTCTTTTCCCACACTTGATCTTTATTTTTATCATTATCATCATCATTTTCGTTTTATCGAACTGATGGAGATATTGAAAATTTATCATGCGAAGTTCCATCGTTGGTCATCGTCTCATCATCGTCGTCGTCGTCGTTTATGTCGTGGTGCTGATAAAACTCAGAATGAGGCATCGATGAAGGGTCTCGTCGTATTTCTTGGCCTAATTGCGTGCAATTGCAAGAAGAATGGCACCAAGAGCACAAGATAAGATAAATGTTTTCGGTGGTTGATCGACACCTGTCGTCGCACCGTTACAATAATCATCCAAGCATGAACAAACTTCTTGTCGACCACCGAAACCACTTCTTTGATAACATCGACCTTTATAAGTCGATTCGATCCAACCACAACTACGTATCACTCGGGTATTCGCTGGCACTAATAGGACAAATATTAATATATTAAAATTTTTATTAACATTCAAAAATTCAAAAATAATTTAATTTTTTATTGACTTTAATGTTTTTATATTTGATTTTGTAATTTTGTATAATAATTTGATGTTCTATTAACTCTAGTATTCTCGTATTTTACTTACTAATTTTTTATAATAATTTGATTTTCCACTAACTCAAATATTTTTGTAATTTTTTTATAATTTTCTATAATAATTTGATTTTTTACTAACTTTACTAATTTTCGTATTTTATTTTGTAACAATTTTGTCTTAAATAAAATTTAATAATTCAATTATAGTGTATATAATCTTATATTATATTTAATAATTTTGTTTTTTGTGTATGTATGTGTGTGTGTATATATATATATTATATATATATTATTATACATATATAATATATATTAAATATATTTATTATTAAATATATTATATTATTATATATATTAAATATATTTATATTATATATCTATATCTATATATATATATATAAAAAATTACTTAAGATTAATTAATTACTTACGTCCATTAACGCTGAACTCAATGACCTGAGTAATTTTTCGACACATTGTAAACTTCGGCCCATCCTTCAGTTCACCACAATCTTTTTTCAACGCATCCGGTGGAATATCGTCTGCGCATCGGCTGTCGTCATTGCTGTTACATACGTAACACTGGATAGCATTGGCACCTAGAAATAATAAAAATTAAATGTTAATTAATAAAACGTATAAAATATAATAATATGATCGTGTTACACGACATCATTTGTAATAACGATTACATTAACTTATATACGCGTTATTTTTTAAATACGATAAGAGAGGTCACCCTTTCAAGAGAAATGATAAGAGAATAAATCTTATTAAAAACTATTAATATTTTACATTTTTTTATTGATCATATCGATGAAAAATTGTATATACAATGTCATTGGGTTAATACAATCCATATATATATATATATATTATATATATAAAATATTGAAACGTTGTGTAATAATTTTTTTCTTTTTCCAATTTTTTTTGAAACTGACCCATATAAATGTATGAGATGAGTTCATCGAACTCCCGACCCTAACTGATATAAAAATCAATGCAGCTACGTGGCCTAGAAAGACGCGGAAAGATTAAGCTTTAAAGTATGTGCACCCACGATGATCTCGTTTCTGGAAATATGCACCAATAACTAAATATAAATTTAGAAAAAGTCTTATGCGATATTGTTAAATAGAAAATTTCGATTTCTTTTTTATTGACTTTAGATAATCGATATTCGATTTATATAAACAAAAAAAAGCAGTTATAAAAATTATTACAATTTAATTATAATAATGTAAAAAATTTGGTTCGTTGTTTAACATAAAATTATTAAAATCGAGGAATTTAAATCATTATTTTGTTTGATTTTCGATAAATCTCATATTATAATTTAAGAACGTCTATAGTTACTATACTTGATGATCGATGTCAGATAAAATCAGCTATTCACTCGGTAATTGAACACTCTACGTACGGAGTAGAACGTCACAAGCATGAAATATTCAACGTTTTAATTAACTTACGCAAAAATTTTATGTTCGTTGCCTCGAGAGTAGTGAAATAAAAGTTTTTTTTTCTTTTTTTTTTTTAATAAAATTCTGCCAAATCATGTCAAGAAATTAACTGATATAAATAAAAATAAAAATTTTAATAATACAATTATTTTAAATATTTTTCTTAACTCTTATCAAATCATTAGATATATAGAACCACGCTCTATTTTTGTAATTTTGTGCCAATGCTGATCGTTTTGCGCATAGTACGTCGTCATCGATCTTGCTGACGTTTGCGTCAATGCATTTTGATGAGGAACCATCAGAAACCAAAAAGATTAATTTTTTTCCACAAAATATATTCATATTTAATAAAAAGTAAATAAATAAATACAATCATTCTCTTATTTGATGTAATCATATTTTCCTTAAATGACCAAATTTTGTGTATAAAAAGAAAATGAATTAATATAAAAATTATAAACAGATACACTTTTGGCCATGATATCTAATCAATAAAAAATCACACTCTTGTACGCGATTGAATAATATTCTTTCTCATTAATTATATTTGTTTTCGTATTAAAAAAAAATAGAAAATAAAAACTACATTAATTAAAATTATAGACATATAAATGTCACGATATTCGATAAATAAATGAATCATTCTTTATTTCGATTCGATCAGATTTCACTTCGTTGATCAAATCTTTTTTTTTTGAAATAAAAATATTTATTAAGAAATATTATAAACCAAAACAAACTTATAATGATAACAAGATAATTATTATTTTCTAATTCGATTAAATTATATTTTTCTTCGCGTTCGTCGTTAATACATTTTTTCTAATAAGAAAGAAGAAAAAAATGAAATCGAAAAAAAACAAAAATAAATTAACAAACACAAATAAACTCTCTTACCATGATATCCAAGAAGAAGAACAATGGCACAGAATAAAAGAAAGATTAGCTTCATTATGAGAATTCAATCAAATTTCTTTCCGATCGAATTCTCTTTTTTCACTTTTTTATTTTTATATTTTTATTATTTTTTCCTTTTTTTATTTCTTTTTTGTTTACTTAATTTTTTTCTTCTTTTTTTAATCTTTTTACTTCCTGATAAGGCAGTACGAGATACTAAACGATCAACGATTCGGATCACTCTGAATATGAAAGAGTTTTAGATAGGGAGAAGAAGATATATTATAACTAAGGTTTTAAAAAGACCGATCATTCGACCTCGAGAGCTGGAAAAGCACTGTCGAGGATTGCTATCGTTCGTCGCCACGGACTCATGCAATAGACTACGAACTATAGAGAACAAGTTCGCTACCATGTTTCTACGGCACTGAGCTACGTCGAACGTTAACAATAAATGTGGTGGGGAGTTAGAGTAAGAGAGAGAGAGAGAGAGAGAGAGAAAGATAAAGAGATGAAAAAAGAAGAAAACAATTTCTTGTATATTTGTAGAATTAGAAATGAATAGAATAGCACGTGATGAGTGAATAATTTATAATGAATTGGTTAATATGTATAATTATATATATATATATATATATATATATATATATATAATTATATATATATATATATATATATAATATATATATATATAATATTATATATATAATATATATATATATATATACGTATATATATATATACATATATATACATACATATATAAACCTTATATAATAACTAATGTATTATGAATGTATTACAGCTATTATTTTGTCCTCTTCTAAAGTTTTTTCCTTTCTATATTTTTAGTATATGTTTTCATTAATAGATCATAAATAACAGATTTTCTTATATTTAGAACTTTTAAATATTTTCTTATTTATTATATATATATATATATAATATATAATATATATATAATAATATATATATATTATATATATATAATATATATATAATATATATATTAATTATTAATTATAAATATATAATATATATATAATAATATATATATATTATATATATAATATATATAATAATATATATATATTATATATATAATATATATATTATATATATAATATATATATAATATATATAATATATATTCTAATATATATAACATTTGTAATTTTTATACCTAAATATATTAGGAACATATACCTAATATGTTAATATCAATAAAAAACATATTAATAATAATATCTAATAAATGTTAATGATACAATAATAATATGTTAAAAATGTAAGAAATGTAATACAAGACTATGCAAAAATAATGAATATAAATAATTTATTATTTATAATTTACTAGTGAAAATATATATAGTTAACAGTTGAGTTATGTAGTATAACACATACAATTTTAACCGTGCAAAGAGAGAGAGAAAGAGAGACAGAGAGTGAGAGAGAGAGAGAGAGAGAGAGAGAGAGAGAGAGAGAGAGAGAGAGAGGAAGAGAAAGAGAGAGAATAGAAGAGAGGATATTCGTAGACTGGTCTACGAATAACTCAAGGACTATACGAACGATCTTTGAATTACGTTGAGCGAGGAAAACTTTTGTAGGGTAGAGTAATTTCTATTCGTGGATACGTATATTAAAATGAAACAAATGATGCGTGTAGCCTGCGAATATTTAAATTAATAACACTGATAAATTTTTTCAAGAATCTAACATATTAGTACTTTTTTATATAATATTTTTTTTATTATTATTAATTTGTTCTTTTATATTATTAATTAATCGAAAATTACGATTCGTTTTATTGATCGAATTTCCCGCGAATTTCTTGACTAGTGCGCATGCGCATAACGAGAATCGACGCTCCCATAAAACGAGAATCGATTATTCCTACGTAAGAAGAAACTACTAACCCGAATAGGCTCTATTTCTATCTCTTTCATGATAAAATCATAAAAGAAGATGAAAAAAATGAATTCTTTCGAATATGATTACTAATATCGTTTATAATTTTTAAAAGTGAATCATAGATCATTTAATTATTATATCTATTACGAAGTTTCGTCTATTTTATTAAAAAAAAATGTTCTGTTTTTCTAATTAAAAATTAATCCTGCATACTAAATTGACAAAACTTTTCGATAAATTTAATATTTTCATAATAATAACAAATATATAACAACAAAAATAATTTCAAATATTTATAATTATTATTTATATAATAATAATTAAGAATAAAAAAGAAACAATAATTGTAATAAAAAAATAGTAAAAGGGAAAATAAAAGAAAAATTATAATTTAAAAATAAAAAAAGTGACGAAGGAAATTATGATAATGAAAAATGTCGACAAAAATCTAATAGATCATTTGATTTATCGACTAGATAATGTAATTGAGAAATGAAAATATAATTTCTAATAAAAATAATAAGGAGCGCAGGGCCGTACTTTGAACGGGGAAGATGGCCGTGGGTGGTACGAAGAGCTTTACGTTCAAATGGAGCGTAAAGTGGTGGTTTGGAATACGTTGAGTGGATAATGTTCCTTTTCCTGTGACACGGTGAACGTCACAAAACTGTCACATAGACTTGGCCACGTTCACAAGCACGAGTATACTATCGCGGAAGATATCCTTTCATTGATGATTCTCGCATGTCCTTGTTCATTAGACACACAAACAAAATAAATCTATTTTCAAAACCTTCTTACATATTGTCAATGTTCTAATCAAATCTAATCTTTCATACTATAATTATAGAATAATTTTTCTATATTTTAATTACTAATAAAACTCTTAAATTAATAATTTATTTATTATTTGTGTTATTAGAATTTTTAAATGAAAATTAGGGAAAAAGAGGGAGAGATTTTTTTTTATGAAATTTATATTCGTTTTATATATACATAAAATATGTTTGATTACAATTTTTGATGTTTTTCATTATAGTTAATTTTATTAATCTTACACGTGACATCTAACGGTCTAACCCACGCAGTTGCGTGCATTCGTGACTCGTAATAATCTTCTTCCTGTCCAAAAATTATATACTTAGACGTTATAATACATCACTATAGTCAAAGAATTTCTCATTAGAAAATATGAATATAATTGATGATCATTTACGATAATTTTTGCTAGGTTCGATCGCATACAGCTTGCTAATAATATTTTTATCAATAAAAATTCGTATCTTTTGATATTATATCTTATCAGATGATTTCTACTATAATGAAGAGAACATGACAAATGAATCGTCCTAACCAATTAGTCAATATCATGTATAGTGAATGCTTCTTCTACTAGATCATTTAACACGTTTAGCATTGCGTTTTAACAACATCTTTATCCCTGACATACTTATAGTAATTAGAAAAGTTGTAACTTTGACTGTATTTATATTTATATATAAATTTTTTTTTAATAAAATATGATACTTGAAATTTGTGATACTTCTTATTATTACATTCGATAAAAACAATTGACGTTTGATTGAAAGATAATAATTTCTCGATGAAAATATGAATCGATTGATCGACCTTGTTTATATCTTCAATATTGTAAGTCGACACTTGTGTGCGTGCTGAAAGATTAAAAGTGGTACACTCCAAATGTTATACTATGTTCCACGATAATCGCGGCTCAGTATAATTAATTCCGCACGATTTGAAACAACTTATTCTGAGGATTCTCCAGGGATCGCTTCAACTATAATTATCAAGCTCTACTAATAACAGACAATAGGTTAAAATTTCTTTATGTCAGTCATAGATCTGATAATGAGTTAATAGAGAATAAAATTGTAAGTAGTTATCGAAAGATAAGATTTTTATTAATAATAATTATTTGCATTAATATATCATTAATTAAATTAAAATAGTTGATATATACATATAAAAATACATATACATATACATATATACATAAGCACTTTATTATATTCATAGCAAAAGATCCAAAAAGAAAGAAAGATTAGAGCTTATAAATGCCCATGAAAATTAATAATGCGAATAAGATTGAATACGTTTTATATCATATTGGTTTTATTATTTTTCCCAAAAGGTGAGTTTAAACAGACGAAATTATTTTTACGATCGATCGTTGATAAAGTAGAAATATTTTTATCATTTTGAGATAAATTATCGACTGTTGATACATATTTGCTCACTCGATAAGCTTCAACCAAACAGTTATTAATTTTTTTGTTAAACAAAAAAATTAATATTATAAATGTTATTTTAATAAAATTAATGAATTATAAGAATAAAAAATGTCTGATCAGATTTTATAAAAAAAAGATTGCCAATTATATTATTTATTTTCAATTATATTAATTAAAGTGTATCTCGAATCAATTAAATTTAAATCAATTTAGAATATAGAGGCAACAAGTGTTATCAGTGCAACAGCAAGAAGGACAAAGACTGCGAATTGGATAAGGTCGATCCAAAATATCTCAAAACCTGTCCAATGACTCATCCATATTGTCGTAAATATGTTTACAAATGTAAGTACATTTCTCTTTCTGTAGCAAAAGGGCAAGTTTTGGAGAAGTGAAAAGAGTTAACGTAGCCGTTCATAAATTTCAAGAAAAAGAAGAAGGAAAAGAGACGAACTATTTTTCCTCGAAGTTTATTTTGCGATCAATGAAGTGAAAAATCTTTTCAGACTATTTCACGGACTCGAGAGAATATTCGACGATTCGTGAGTGTGCAAAATGGAGAAACGCCGAAAGAGAATGTTATCGAGGACGTTATAGTGCTGACAGTTATCAATTGATTTGCGAATGCAACGGTTCTGGTTGCAATCGTAGTGCTAACTTGAAACCTCATTTGTGTTATCTTCATATCCTATCTCAATTTTTAGTCCTTTTATATGCCAATTATATTATATTCAATGTTTAAAAATCATCAAATCATAAATCAACAGGCATTAGTCACTGATTAAAAATAGTAATTTTTCTAAGCCATGAATATTGTAATCGAGTTGAATTATTATTTCTATTTAAATAACGTTAACGTGTGAATATTGATTTTTCTAATATTTATCACGTTAACTTAATTAATAGTGAATTATAATTAATAACAATAATAAATGATAAACTCTACTTTAAATTGAATACAAAAGGTATATCGATTTGAGAAAAATATTTCAGAAACCGATTGAAATTTGTTCCAACGATAAACAACTTTAGGTTTGACATTTCGACCGTTTTCGAAGCATCCTAATATCTGACTATAGTGCCAAAGGAAGCGATAATTCGTCTCGAACGAATGTGAGTAGGCGCCCACTTTTGGTTCATTCTTATGAGTAAAGATTTTTCTTTCACTATTTATTAGACATCTTTGTAAAATGAA